TCCCACCAAAGTGGTCCCTATTTTCCTACTTGCATTTTCTTTTACGTGCTTTCGAACTGCTAGTTTGGCAGAAGCTGGGACAAGTAACAGGAGCTCATTCCATTACTTGGCACTAGGGATTCAAACCGCTGAATTGCTGACCTTCTGATCGACAAGCTCAGCATCTTAGCCACTGAGCCACAAGCAGCTAAAAGTCTGGGGTAGTCCACTTCGATTCTAGGGATAGGGAGATGCATAGAAAGGCAAAGTCAATCTCACCCCATCCCCTTTCTTTCCAAAAGAAATTTCTATAGCTTTGCAGGGGCTGCAAAACCACAGCACAGCAGAGCAAATTCTGCAGCAAAGATAGCTCTTTGTTACTGCTGCAGCCTGTGCTGATTTTTTGGGGGATTAATTGCTACTTTACCATAAACTGACCACTATTCTGGGTTGAGACAACATACCAAGTTATTCTCAGCTGTTTTTCCAACAAAAAAAATGTGCTTAATGGCATTTCATCTATTCACAAGGTTATCATATTTGCAGATTTAGATCACACAGTAAACCCAATCTCCGAATAGTTTAGAGCAGAGTTCCCCAACCCTTTTGGCTTTGCAGACCGGCAGAGTGGAGGGTGGGGGGAGAGAGGAGATAGTTCTGTGCAAGCGCACACACATCCTTTTGCACGAGCAGCATGCATGCCGCTTACGCAAATGGCACACACATACATATGCTCATCCACTGATAACACAAGTGGATGAGTTACAACACCCAGACAAAAAACCAGTGAAATCAGGGGTGAAATGCTCCCGGTTCGGAGCGGATCGCCTGATCCAGTAGCGATGGTGGCAGGTGGTTCGGAGAACCGGTTCGGAAAATCCCTGCCCCCCACCACCACCCCCACCATGCCCAGCTGAGCCGCATGATCATCAGGGGCTTTTTTTTTTACTTTTAAAAGCATTTTAAAGCCTCTGATGATCGTGCGGCTCAGCTGGGATCGTCAGAGGCTTTTCAAAGCATTTTTTTCTGCAACCTCTTCAGCCGAAGAGGTGGTAAAAAAAACGCTTTGAAAAGCTTCTCTGACGATCCCAGCTGAGTTGCCTGATCATCAGAGAGGCTTTTCAAAGCATTTTTTTGCAACTTCTTCGGCTGAAGATATTGTAGAATTACATTACCCCCACCCACCCAAACCTCTACCAAGCCATGCCCACAGAACCGGTATTAACAAATTTTACATTTCACCCCTGAGTGAAATCCATTTCCCCAAGTTTTGAAAGATGACTACGCTTGAGTTTTCCTGTTTTACCTACCATTCCAAAGACCAGGTTTCAAAACTCTGCCCCTCCACTAAAGGAGAGCAGTGCCCCATGCCATTATATTATGGCTCTTTGGGAGAAAATAAAATAAAATAATGTTACTGTGGAATACCCAAGAACTGTAGGAAATGGGTTATACCAGTCTGTTGTGGCCAAGAAATGCCAAGTTGATCCTACCCCCTCCGAGTTACCCAACTATGCTGTCAACAGAATCGTTAGCAAAGCAGACCCAAGTTTACATACTTTGAAACTGTTCTTTTGAAAACTCCAAGGAATTCTGCAACAGGAAGGACCCAAGTAAAAAACTGTACGCTGAGATGAGTAGGAATAAAGAGAGAGGTAAGATTATCCTTTAACCTCTGATTAAAGTTGAAATTTGAAAAAAACGATTTTCCATGTAACAGATTTGCACAAAAACAACATCTGTTCCAAGGTGCATGAGAAAAAGTTAAAAACTGACCCACCCCCTTACCAGTAGTTTCTTTGTCAGTGTTTAAGTTTCTGGAGATTATTATCTCTCTAAAATCTCTGGCAAATTGGAATTGTTTTATATTAGAGTTACTTCTAAATAAAGAAGATTGGGATCATCTTGGGATCTGTTTAAACTGAAAGCCTTATGTTTTCTACATCTTTATTCATTTATCTAAAATGCTGGCTTCATTTTAGTGCTGTGAGTTCAGTAGCATTGTATTTGTCTTCCTCTGCTACTGAATTTTTTAATTAAAAGATGTCTCTATGCTTTCTCTTTTCATTTTTTTGAAAATAAGATTTGATTCTATTTATCTGTGGAGATATTACTCCACAAAGGAGGTGAGCAAAGAAGATCTGATTTCTCTAGTTACTTCAGTGTTTTAGGGCTAGGACAGGGCTATAGGATTTATTTCATTTTTATTACTTTTTCCTTGGTAGTAAGATTCCCAGACTGCAGGAACCCTTTTACATACCTTGAGAGTTGCTGGAAGGGGGGGAGATGCCAAGTATAGGTAGTCCTCTACTTATGACCAGAATTGAAATCAGAATTTCTGTTGCTAAGTAAAGTAGCTCTAAATGAGTGATAGCCAATTTTATTACCTTTTTTCCACAGTGATTAAGTGAATCACATGATCATTAAATGAATCTGGCTTCCCTCATTGACCTTGCTTGTTAGAAGCCCACTTGGGAAGGTGGCAAATGGCGATCACATGTCCCTGGGACATCACAACCATCACAAATACGTGCCTGTTGCCAAGCGCCCAATTTTTGATCACATGACCACATGGATTCTGTGATGATTGTAAGCAGGATGACTCGTTGTAAATTACTTTTTTCATTGAAGTTGTAACTCTGAACAGTCCCTAAATGAATGATTGTTAACTGGAAGGCAACTCCCTTGAAGGCAGATGGTGGCATAGAAACTGCATAGGAAGGGAGGAAGCCGAAGGTGCGTAGTCTCCAAGTACTTCGGGGATACAGGGCTTGAGATTGCTCAGGTGTTTCACTTTATAGTTTCAGCCATGCTGGTACACCTACAAATGCAGATGGAACATGTATTTGAGATGGGATGGTTGCCTCATGTCCATGCCACTGGAGTCCCAGCAAGACTGGCCTACAGTATTTGCCAGCTGTCTGAAGAGGATCTACGCCACTCAGGAGCCTGAGTGGCATAGGAGGCTAATGCCTCCTACTAAGGCAGCATTTAACATCCAGCTGCCTGCAATTACTGCAAGTTCAATTCTCACCAGGCTCAAGGTCGACTCAGCCTTCCATCCTTTCTAAGGTGGGTAAAATGAGGACCCGGTTTGTGGGGGCAATAAGCTGACTTTGTATAAATATATACAAAAGTATGAAGGCTATTGCTTAACGCATTGTAAACCGCCCTGAGTCTCCGGAGAAGGGCGGCATATAAAAATAAAAAAAATTTAAAAAAAAATTAAATATGGAAAGAAAGACCAATCATAGTTCAAAACCTCTGATGGAGATGTTGCTCTTCTGTAATGAAAGACAACAGGCAAGCAGGGCGAGAATCTTCTAGTTACCACAATTGACAGATATTACCAGGCCAGATCTGAGACACACAGCCAAGTGTTGAGGTGATAACCTTACTTGAGCTAACTGCTTTCCATCTCTTTCTCCCTGACCTTCCTTGCAGAATTGTGAAGATAAAGGCCAGAGGGGAAGAAAAAGGGGGAGCATAAATTAAATCAGATCTAGCAGGGGTGAAATGCTCCCGGTTCGGACCGGATCTCTCGATCCGGTAACGATGGCGGTGGGTGGTTCGGAGAACCGGTAGCAGAAATCCCTGCCCCCCCCGCATGCCCAGCTGAGCCGTGCGATCATCAGAGGCTTTTTTTTTTTACTTTTAAAAGTATTTTTTCTACAAATGCTTTTAAAACTAAAACAAAAAAAAGCCTCTGATGATCGCGTGGCTCAGCTGGGATCGTCAGAGCCTTTTAAAAGCATTTAAAAAATGCTTTTAAAAGTAAAAAAAAAAGTTGGCCACGCCCACCCAGTCACATTACCCCCCACCAAGCCATGCCCACAGAACCGGTAGTAACAAATTTTACATTTCACCACTGAGATCTAGGTTACAAAAATTCAGACAACCTCTAGATGGCAATGAGATTGTCGTTTTCTCTATTCCTCTGCTGCCATGATACTGATTTTCGCAGCCCAGATCACCTAGCCATAAATAACTGCATACGTATAAATATATATCTATGGATACACTCAAGCATATAAAGATGGGTAAAATGTTTAACAAGTAGATATTGAGTACATGATGCTCTTCAAGAAGATGTAGTGATGGAAAACTTTCTTCTGGTACCTAATGCAGTTAAAAGTACACAAATCCTGTCCCTGTAAATATGATAAGAGTCCAGGTAAGAAAATAGGCTCTGTAGGAATAGGTGAAATCTTCAGTGTCTAAGCAACTGAGACTTGTTCTTTAGTTCTTTCTTTCTGCTCTTGATTTCTCTTAGATGAGCCACAGAACATTAAGACCTCATCCAGGACTCTTGGCATTGTCTGAAAGAGCTAGATGAGGTCTGGTTACTCCTGAACTGGAATGTTGCCAACTTTCCACTAAATAAATCATGAATAGTCTGCTCAACAGTCCCCGTGGAGCATTGCCATTCACTCCCTTCTGCCATTCAAAGAGCCAGGAAGGTAGCCAATGCCACAGGTGGGGTCCAGCTTTGCTGAAATACAATCAGCTTTCTAAGCTGAGAAAGGGGATCATGGCGCATGTGTGAGTGAATCATAATGGAGAGTAAGACTTAAGGAAGCAAATGCAGGTATGAGGGTGGAAACAGAGAGAGCAAAATAGAGAGGAAAAAAACTGTAAATATCTAAGTATTATGCTGGTCTGTGACCATAATAAAGATTTGCTCTGCTTTGCTTTGCTTCCTGAACAGATATATCAAGTAGCAAGCAGGGGTCCAGAGAGGGCAAAATAGTTTTATCAAAGACTTTCTTTAAAAAAAAAATAGACTCTACTAGCAGGTGATTTTATTTTATTTCCAATCTATTGTTTCAGTCTCTCTTCTTTACTGCATTACTTTCAAAATAAGTAGGTAATATGTAAATGCCCAGGGACTCCATAGTGTTGCTCAAACAGTATCCTGCAGGCATTGAGACCTCTTGGGTTTCCTACTTCAGGGAGTTGTTTTACCTTGTTTGCATTGCATCATTAGTGAAAAGCCAATCTGGACCGGGTCATATGTCTGACCTGATAAGCTCAGATTTCCTCTACTTCCTCCGGCTTCAATCTCGCTCCTTACAATAATAAGATGACTTGATTGGGTTTTGATGGAGAGCGGGGGTGAGCTGTGACAGAAGCTGCAGTCCCCTCCTACTCCCATGTCAGTCCCCGGCCCTGGGAAACACAAAGGATGATCCATTAGAAGCAGGGAAAGCAAAGAGAAAAAAATGCCTGAAAGAATGGGGAAATAAGGGAGATAAAGGAGGGGAAGAAAGGATAGGAAACAGGAGAATGCGAGAAAGAAAAGGGAGAGAGAGTGTTTAGAGTGGGTAAGAAAAGTGGTCTCAGAATGAGGAAAACATTGCAGAGAAAAAATTAATGGGAAAAGGAGTGAGACAGTGGAAGGCATATGTAGCTGAAGGGTATATTCTGAGATATTTGCATTACTTCAGATCTAGAAATATAACACTATGGCAGTCCGACTAGGAGTGTGTGCCTTTGGAGAGGACAGATGCCAGCAGAGTGGTCCACAATAGAGTGGCAAGCAAGTAGCATAAGGAATAGAACTGGAGCAACTGGAAACAAGAAAGAATTAGGAATATAGGTCAATGTCACACGGGATGTGCCTATGACAATGGGAGCCAGAGAAGAAGGCCACGGCAGTGGGAAAAGGGGCAGGTCCTTGCCATAGATCATCTTCCCCAAAGAGAGAGTAAATAGCAAGAGCTCCAAAGGAGGACAGTAGTTCTTTGCCAGCCTTCAGCATGTTCTTTTTTCTTCGGGAGACCCGCCGACTGAACAGTGAGGCATCATGCCTGCAGGCGTCTAGTTCCCGACAAGGTGCTCAGAGGCAGTCCAAGGGTGGACATTTCCGAAGGACAAGCAGTTGGTCCCATCAAGAAGACCGGCAATCCATGCAGCGGCCCAGGATCAGGAGCACTTCTGACCCTGCCTCAACCACCGCCTCTGGATCCCTCTCTCACACCCGCTTCCAGTTGGGTGATGGAGCAACTTTGCCTGCAACCAAGCCAGAGGACACGCCATTGCAAGAGGATGTCGGAAGGATCACCTTGGCTCACGCAGAAGATAAATGCCTAAGTATCAGGGATATGGAGCTTAGCCTCACTTCTGTCTTTGGGCAGGTAACTTAAAAAACTGGGAGCAGATGGGGGAAGCCATGACAAGGAAGAAGAGTGGGCCATCCAGGAAGAGGAGGGGGCTGAAAATCAGGGAATTTATACTTGAGGTCCAATGGAAGAAAAGCTCAAATAAGAGAAATTCTCCAGTTATCAATATTTCATCTTCTATTATTGTAGGGTTTTTAAAAATATTTTATCTTTTTATATAAAAAGAACCATTCTAGGCTTTTCCCCTCTTCTTATTTTTTTCATAGCTAGAAATCTTGCTTTCCTGCAATGTCCCAAGTTAGCTCAGGATTTTTCAACATTTACTATGTTGGCTGGGGAGTTAGCCATATATGAAAAGTCATAGACTTTTTACTCATTACACTGGGACCAGCTGAAGAAGTCTGGAGGCCAAGATCTGTTTTTTTTTTTCTTCCTAATCTTGAAAATCCTTGTGAAGGAATTCCTAATAAGGAGGATTGGCTCCTTCTGTAATTTAAAATTGTACCAATTTGAGATGGTACAATATTACAGTATTGGTGTCCCCATCCAATACTGCGGGGCTTTGGGCCATAACTACCAATTTAGCTCTTCCTGCTCCAGAAGAAATTAAGACAATTTTGCTGCATTTCTGTTGGAGCTATGAGTGGATTGGTTTGCTATTAGTAGAAACGCCTCCTTTTTCTTTTTCTCCCTCACACTGTGAAAAGCAAATGCAGTGAAGGAGGAGTGGGGTGGGTGGAGGAGGTAGCAGGATAGCATCTGGCTACCATTTGAATGTGCCCTACAGAAGGGAGCATAGGCTGGCTATTACACAAAACAGAGCACAAGGATACTTACATAGGGGAACGAAAATGTTGCACTGGAAGTATGCTTTCCATTCTGCCATGGTTGTTAAAAGGCTTGCAAAAGATAACTATTCTTTGAGGATCTCACTTGCAATAGGCAGACCATGGTAAAATGTAACTTTGGATGGGTAAGTCTAATGAGACCTGAGGGGTTATATCAATTTTTATAATTTAATAACACAAACAACAAAAGGGTGGTGGATTTGGCTGTCAGATCAACAATTCAAGCCCCAATTTTGCCTTTAAAATGAACAACGCGACGCTAAGGCAAAGGGGAAAGTGGTGTAGATGGTCCTCATTTAGCAACTGCCTCACACAGCAACCATTTGCAGTTACAACATTTATGAAGAAGTAACTTTCCACCAATCCTCACATTTACGAACTTTGCAAGTCTTAAAACAAAGGAAAGCTGAAGTAAGTTCATATACTCAGTTGCAGTTTCACTTAATGACTACTTCACTTAACAACCACATTTCCAATCCCATTGGGGTTTCTAAATGAGGATTACCTGTATTTAGCTACAGCGCTAAATGAGCAATAGAAGGACTGTATTCAGAAATCTTGTTGGACATTGGATTGACACAGTGCTAATATGAACAGTTTGTAGTTTATCAATAGTACGTGGTTCGTGGATAATTGGCAATAGCAGGTAGAGAGTTAGAACATAGAACAACAGAGTTGTTGGAAGGGACCTTGGAGATCATCTAGTCCAACTCCCTGCACAAGCTGGAGAGTTTATACCATTTCAGACAAATGGCTGTCCAGTCTCTTCTTGAAAACCTCCAGTGATGGGGCACCCACAAATTCTGAAGGAAAGGCATTCCACCGCTTAATTGTTCTGTTGGGAAATTTCTCCTTTGCTCTAGGTTACTTCTCTCCTTGATTAGTTTCCTTCCAATGCTCCTTGTCTTGCCTTCTGGAGCTTTGATAAATAGTTTGCCCCTCCCCATCTTTGTGACAGCCCCTCAAATACTGGAACACTGCTATCATATCACCCCTAGTACTTTTCACTAGACTAGACATACCCAATTCCTGCAATTGTTGTTCCTATGTCTTAGTCACCAGCTCCCTAATCCTCTTTGCTGTTCTTTTCTGCACTTTCCAGAGTCTCAACATCTTTTTTATATTGTGGCGACCAAAACTGGATGCTGCTGCTACACACTGTTGGCTCATTTTTAAGTGATTGTCCACTTGGACTCAAAGATCCCTCTGACAGTTACTGGCATTGAGTCAAGTTTGACTTAGTCTGTACCTGTACAGTTGGTTTTTCTTGCCTAAGTGTAAAACCTTACTTTTATTTACTTTGAATTTCATTTTGTTAGACAGGGCCCAATGTTCAAGTCTGTCGAAATCCATCTGGATCTTGAGCCTATCTTCTGGGGTGTTGGCTATTCCTGCCAGCTTAGTGTCATTTGCAAATTTGATGAGTTCCCTTCTATTCCCTCATCTAGATTGTTTATGAATATATGAAGAGTACTGGGCGTAAAACTGAACCTTGGGGAACCCCACTACTTCGTTCCCTCCATATAGATGTAGTTTTGTTGAGGACTACATGTTGAATATGGTTTGTCAGCCAGTTACAAATCCATCTGGTGGTGATGCTGTCTATCCCACATTTTTCTAGCTTACCAAGAATACTATATATTTTCAAATACCTTTGCCAAATGCCTTTCTAAAATCTAAATATATACTATGTCCATGGCTTTTCACTGATATATTAATTTAGTCATTTGTCAAAGAATAAAATAAGACTTGTTTGGCACGATCTGTTTTTGATAAACCCATGTTGGCAACTGACTAACTTTACTTTTACTACTTTTACAACAGATCAAGCAGATTTGTTGCTTGATTATCTTTTCCAAAATCTTTCCAGGTATTGATGTCAGGCTGATTGGTCTGTAATTTCCTGGATCTGGGATCCCCCCCCTTTTTTTGGAAGATGGAAACCATATCAGCATTTTTCCAGTCCTTAGGTAGTTCTCCTCTGTTCCAAGAACTTTGAAAAATATGGTTCAAAGGTTCTGAGATCACATCTGCCAATTCCTTCAAAACTCTGGGATGTAATCCATCAGGACCAGGGGTTGGTTCTACTTACCTTTACTACCAGTTTGCAACAGGAGCACGCGCGCGTTTCTGCGCATGCACAGATCACCCGTGATGACGTCATGGCGGGTGGGTGGAGCTTCCCGCCGGTTTTACTACCAGTTCTATAGAACCAGACTGAACCGGGGGCAACCCACCACTGATCAGGACCCGGAGATTTGAATCTATCTAGAGCTGACAGGTGTTCTCTTACCTTATTTTTGCTTATTTTAATTTGCATTCTTAGCCTGTCTTTTACGGTTTTGTTTTTGGTAAGTTGTTTTTATTTTCTTTGTAAGTGAAGAAAGATATAAAGAATGAATTAAGCAGTTCTGCTTTCTCTTTACTGCCTGTTACATTCTTGCCATGTTCTCCCATGAATGGATCAATTGGGTTTTCTTTTTTTACTTTTCTTGTTTTTTATGTGTTGAAAGAAACTTTTAAAATTGTTTTTGACATTTGTTGTAAATCTTAATTCATTCTGAACCTCAGCTTGCCTAACTTCATTTTTGCAGGTTCAGGCAATTTGGTGGCATTCTGCTTTAGTTATTTGTCCCTCTTTCCATTGTTAGTACTTATCTCTTTTTTCTTTCAATTTCAATTGGTCAGAAAGTTCTTCATGCATTCATGCTGGGGGTTTTCTTGATTTTCTTGTGTTTCTTGATTTTCTTGGTTGAGTCAATCTTTCCTGATTTGATGCTGCTTCATGCAGTCTAAAAATGGGGTGATATGTGAAGCTTCCTTGTTGACGTCCTATGGGGTCTTATGCTTCTTGAAAACCATATCATCTCTAGAAAAAAACATACCCAAACTTGAACAAACTCAAGTTTAAGTTTATTCAGATTTAAGATCTGAATAAAATGACTGCACATTGATTGGTTTCCCTTTGCCTCAAAATCAAGTTAAGGTATGTAATTACTTCTTCACAGAACATGCTGACTTTAGAACATTGCAAAACATGAAATGAAATGCTATTTTTATGATATCTCCAAGAAGCACATATTCTTTCATTCTTTTCCTATACAAATACAATGGTCACCAACACATCTGAAATATTACTTTTTGGTGAATAATCTAAGATCTAAGGATCCAACAGTCAAGAAATGTGCCTCTGTAATGGTATGAGGAAATGACTTTGGGAGATTGGGGAAGAAATACTGCCTAGGGAATGATCAGATAAGAGAGGACATATAGCCCACAACTGCATAATGTGAAGAGACTCAGTAAAGGAACCTTCCTAACTTCTCATACTGTAAAAGAGATGGTGGGAGATTTGTACTTTCAGATGTGCAATATTCTGTTAATGTAACCTTACAATAAACTAGACTTAGTTCATCTGGTCATGTTTCCTGTCTGATCAACTTAGGAAGGCTGACAGCCTCAGACTAGCCTTGGTAAAGTAGCAATGAAGCCTATTTTATGGGGGGGAAAACATATTCAGATTCCAGGATGTGTCTATACCTGCAATGATTAGAACTGAGCAGGCAATGGCTTTCTCTGTGACATCCTGTGGAAATGAAAGTCAGACTTTGAAGAAGCAAGATAGAAAGAGTACTGATGCTTTTAAATGTTGTGGTTGGAGAAGTTTATTGAGAAAACCATGGACAAATCAGCCCAGAGTTCTCTCTTGAGGCACAATTGATCTGGCTGAAATGATCATATTTTGGATATATTATGTTTGCTCTTTTGAGAAGGCTATAATGCTGGGAAAAGGGAGAGGAGAGGAGACATCAGCAACTTTATTTGTTATAATAATTTGATTAATTGTATAAATCTGCAAATTTTCTGTGAACAGATGAAGCAAGTCAATGAATGTGATTGCTCTGGCCTAACACTTCCACTCTTAAAGCTTTCTATTTTTTTCTAATCTAAACCTGGGCTTTTCCCCTGTGTTATATTTGAATTTTCAATAAGCTGAGGAAGACTACTTTGTGTTAGAAAGGCCTTAAATACTTAAACAAACAAGCCTGAATTTCTCTGCATGCCTTTATGATTCACAAAAGTTGATCAGATTGTATGACCCAAATATGCTTTTAAAATAAGCCCTCGATTTGTACCAATTTTCATAAATGCTACAATTGTAGTTTTATTTCTCACTGGGGAATTGTTTAGACAAGATATTGTTTTTCCATTTCCAATATTTCTCTCTTCCAATTTCTGTCCTGAATTAGTGTTAATTATAACAGATGTTCAGCTGTAGTGAGAATGGCCTTGAGTGTCTAAATACAGTGGATTTTACTAGCTCATTCAGATCTTTTGCCAGTTGTATGTGCTACTTTGTACGTCCAATGATGCCAGTAGGGCTACAGCATCTATACACATTGGAAGCAGTCCATCCTTGGTGCAAATATTTCAAAATATAGATGACTGTCACAGAGGAGATTATGGCCACATATACTCTGACAGAGAGGGAGATCAGTTTATGATTCAGGGACTCTCCGTTTGCAGGCCTCTGACTGAGATGGAAGGAGGCAAGAGGAACCAACTATGGATAATGTTTTTCTTCCTGGGATACTGCTGTGCTCAGAGAAAGAGATGTCTGCTTGCCCCTCCATTCTCTGTTTCAGCACCATCTATTATTGAGTTTTGCATAATCCTGAGGATTATGGTACTACTCTACGCCTTTCCCCCTCCATTTACTTTCCCTTAATATTCTAGATATATTCAACAATAAAAACCCTGAAAATCCTCAAAGAGACTAAACCTCCTAGAAGAGAATCACTTGTTACTATAAAAAACCCACTGCCATCAGCGCCAGCTGCCTGCAGCCCAATGCTCTGCTCAGTGAGATGGGGGGGCCTTAGAAGCCATGGGCAACTGCACCAAAACCCTTGGCCAGCGACTCTCCAAGGTAGGGAGAAAAAGATGGAGGGGAGGGGGGCCCTCATCCTGTTGCATTCCCATTTTTCTGTCTGGCTTCAGCACGTTTGTCTACTTTCCTTGTTTCGTTGTGTCTGTCCTTTAATGTCCAGATTTGAGGCCTGAATTCTCTTAGAAAATATGGCAAAATGTCCCCATTTGGTGAGTGTTTGTGGAAAAATTCTTTGCTTTGCCCTGTCTCAGACTAATGGGCTTTGAGGTATCATCCCAAGATCCTTTAGCTCTAAATAAAAATTCTCCAAATTGTTGGGATGTTTTACAGAAGAATAATTCAGGAGACTGAAAATGGCCCTTATCTTTCTCCGTTTTAATCCTTAGTTTACCAGCCTGATCTATTTCTTGCATCCAGTGAGTGGGGGAAATGAACAAGTTGTAACCCAGGATCAGAAAATATTGGTTCATGGAATTGGGTCCCATTATTTATGCTCACTCCCACATTCTTGCACTTGGTCAAGGTCAATCATCTCCATTCTTGATGACTAGGTGAGAAGAACCAGCCTGTATCCCAGTATTTGCATACCAATTTTGTACACCGCTTAGACTATCAAATTAAGGAAAGGGTGACAAGACAGAATGGAAAGAAAGAGAGTGGGGAATTGTTTAGTGAAGGAAACAAAACATGTATGTTGGAAAAAAATATTTAGGTGTAATAGTAGGAAATCTATGTAGCTCAGGGCTCAATTTTTGAATTATTGAGGTTCTCTTGGTTGTTTTCCTACAGATGTTTCATTACCATGTTAGGTAACATCATCTCTAGGCTTATGTTTCTGTCTGTTGTTAAGAGTCATGTTTATGTAATCGTCAAAGCACTCTAATTGTAACTTTTGCAAATCTTTGATAAAGAGAAGACATTCAACCAAAGCTAAACAATAACAACCCCCCAAAAAAAAGAGAGAGAGAGAGAGAAGCTGCCAAACAATTTTTAAATTTGAAAGCATGAGGAAGATGGTCTCTGTAACCAAATTCTCATGAACAGGTCAGCCCAGTTTTTATCTCTGTCTATGTTGCTTCAGTATAGAACTGCGTAAATAAGCACTCTATATGATTTCATAATCCCCTTTTTGTTAAATTAAAAAGGATGATTTAGTGGGCATTTTTGGAGAAGTTTGAAAAATTGAAAGTTGTGTGCTTATGTGGCAAAGAATATTTACTCAGAGTTAGGGCATTCTTTTACACCACCCATGTTTTAATGACTTTTAAGGAATATTTCACTACATACCATTTAAAAATCAGTTTTACTTCTATTTAACTTTTATATCCATTGCTGGATAGAAAGTATGGGTGTTTTAATGCAACACACATGAAGGACATCTGGTTAGGAAAGAAACATAGTTTGCCAAGAATCCTGTTAAAGATTCATTGCCCTCCTCGCCAAACCACATTTCCTTGAGATTCAGTCTAAATCTGTAGGGATAATATGTAGGACAAAAAGCAGAGAGATCATTAGGAAAAATGAGCACACCTACCCTAAAGGTGTTATTGTTAGGATCTAATGCTTGAGGCATTGGTGTATGAATCCCAGCAATATGACATTTTGGAAAGAGTGGAATATGTATTCTACGTCTCCCTAAAACCATGTGTATGCATTGAGTAGGTGCCACGAGTATCATCTATGGCAGGGGTGTCAAACTCGCGGCCTGCAGGCTGGCTGCATCACGTGCTGACCATGTTCGTGCCTAGTTTAGCGAAGGGGAAGGGGGAAGTCGCGATACATCAGGTGACAATGCCATGATGACGTGAGTTTGACACCCCTGATCTATGGTATTAGGAAAATACACCTGCTTGTACTCCAGCATGGATCATGCTGCACTGGTGTTATAAACAAAGCTTTTGACTCCCATTAAGGATTCACTGAAGGGTTGTGCAGGTTGAAATATACTGTACCGTCAGCTGGCTGACATCAATTGATGGATGTTAAGGTATTTCTCAGCTGGTAACATTTCTCTGTTGTTCCTTGTTTTTCTTTTGTATTCTTGTCCTTTTTTCCTTTCTGTCTATTCTTTCCTTTCCATTACATTCTTTCCTTTCCTAGAATCTCCCAAGAGTCAGGAATCTTAAACCCTCAGGCGTGATAGTATAGGGCCTTTAATCAAACATACCTAATTGCAGGCTATTGTGAAGGAGAATAAGCAACCCTCAGAAGCTCTTGACTCCCCAACCTCTTCTAACAGCAAGCTGGATGAAATGGATGATGGCACACAGCATCCATCTTTGCAGAATTACTCAATGTTGCATGGCTTGGTGGGGCCAGCCTGCATCTTCTTGCGCCAGAGCATCGCCATCTCATTGATCGTACGTACTCTGCTTCTCCTGTAGCTGCCACCATATCTCCACTTTCCTCAATGACCCTCTGCCCTGCTGGTATGATTCTCCTCACTTATCCTCTGTGTAGTTCCCCCACTGCTCCATTATGAATTAGCTCACCTTCAGAGTTTTCTGCTCCCTCAGAAATCCCACTTAACACCTTTTCTGCATACAAATTATAAATCCCTGGATGTATAAAAGTGTCCTTCAGTGACTTCATTGCCCCTATGTCAAAAGCTCGGAAACTGGAAATATTAATAATTAATAGGGATATATTGATACGCAGTTGTTTCATGCACATTATGTTACTGCATGCCTGATAAATCAATAATATTTACACCATGCCATAAAAGAGGAAAGTGAGGTTACTGGGGTTAGATTCTAAAGAATGTGATGGAAAGCAAAGCTCTTAAGGCTATTTGGTAGTTCATGGCAAAGACAATCTCCTATTTTGAGACTCCACAATGAGCAGATCGATCTTTTAATAGCAGCTTTTGAACGAACCTCCAACTAGGTGAACCCTTTTAACATATTGCCATACTTTACCCGCTCAATGTCAATATCCACAAAACACCCATTTTTAAAAGGAACTACAACCCATGACCCATTGGGTTATCCTTCTTTCCACATATAATATAGGCTGGCATTCTTTCTCCTCCCCTCAGGATTCCCAGAAGAACCCTGGGAAAATGTCCTCCTTCACCTTGGCTGACACACATATTACCTGCCACTTTGCTGGGGGGAGTGGGAAAAAAGACTGTCCTAAACAGTGATGAAAATTGTACCTGTGCTCCTCATCCTTGTGTGTTCCCTCACTCTACGTTGACCAATAGCGCCCCCCTCAACCCTTCTCCACCAGCAGGCATCTGAATTACTCCTCATTCTTCCCTCACCACCCACTAAGAAAATTTAAATTTCAGCCTTGTTTCCAAAGCATCCAATCACCAATCCCCTGTCAGGCTTTGCTGTCAATTGGATGCAAAGGGTATGTCCCTCTCATTTTTCCTTGCACCATGCATCCTATGGCTTTCAGGAATGTGTAGTTAGAAATAACAATCCCAATGCCTGCGGCAATCAGCAGTGATGCTGCAGTGGCCACAACTTTGCTAATACAACTGGTGAAAAATTCTTGAAATTTCAATTACCTCAGAATAATGGATCCTGGATTCTGGATGCATTCTTTAAATTAGCCCATTTGAGGTACCTTAATTCAAAACTTGTTGCAAAATGTCTTCCTTCTGATTCACTGTTTTGCCCAATTGAAGGTTACAAACGGATGGGGGAATCAGACATAAAAGGTATTCAAATAAGCATCAGTTGGCAAACTGTTTCTGTTTTGTCTTTTCACTGGCCTCTACTCTTGTTCTCTCCTTAGGACCGAAAGCTGCGAGCGGAAGAAATTGAAGGTAAAATGAAAAATACTTTCTCATAATTCTTTTTTAGGTCTTTTCAAGCTCAGCTAGTCTGCATGCTGATCTGAAATCTAGGGCCCTGCAGGCAGCTGAGAAAGTTCTTGAAAGACATGTCAGGAACAGGTGATAAACTGGCAGCTGAGGGCAGCAGAGGGCTTGACACTAGTCACTACATGATGCTCCCCTTTAAATTTTGATATGCTTCCCTGCTCTGAAAGAAAACAGTTCTTAATCCTAGACTGAATTAATTCCATAGTATCATTTAAGGTATTTTCATCTTCCCCTCAATCTGCTTCTCACTTCCAAAGGAATCTCAGAACAGCCCACAACTGTTCCTGCAGAACTCAAGCTGAAGGGGAAACAAAATAAGAGTTACCAGATAGTGCTAGGACTATCGTCCTTCGTCCTTCTTCTGTCACTGCTTTGTTGGTAGAAGGATGTGGTGCCACTATAGGCATCTCCATCCTGTGTAGTAGTGCATTTTTGCCATTTCTGCTGTAAAAAGTTTCACAGTTCTAATTTTGTATGGTTTTATCATTTTGCCTGGGTTTATGAGCTTGTTTCACTGAGAATATTTTTAATGGGAAGCAGATTAAATCAATGGTACAGGTAATATAAATAACAAATATCCCTCAATAAATGTGGAGTGCAAAATCAAACATTATTTCATTTCTGTAATGGAGGAGGTTGTTACCCTTTAATGAATGCTACTGAATTAATGATAATTTTATCATTTAAAGAATTGTAAGGATTTTTTTCCCTCTGGTGTGTGTGAGGACCTTTCTCCCAGCTTCAGTCTTGTTTAGCTTTTCCTCTAACATAGCAAGAATTAAAAGTCATTGGAAGATGATGGTTATGGCTAGGAATGTTCCCTGTGTACTTCACAACTGAAGTAACACACATTGCTGCCTAAAGGGGGTCTCATAAGACCTAAAGTCTAAATCTTCATTAGTCGATCCTCCTGCTAAGAAGTGCTGCTAAATGAGAATTTATTGTGCAGCTACACTCTCTTGTTTATAAAACTTTGTGAGACCAACTGACATTTGCAATTCTACCACTTTCCCCATCATTTTCTTCTACTGCAGAACTTCAGTTAAAGATGGCAATGTTGAAATAATAGCACACTTTTTAAAGATGAGGAAAGGAAAATACATCAAACAAAGTGGGAAGATCAATTTTTTCCCCCTTTCTAAAATTCTTGTACTTTTTATTTAACAAAATAAAACTAGTGGTGATCTTTTTAAAATAAAAGGTTTGCTTTTCTATCATGAGTCTGGATTCTGGAGGATGTGAAGGCTATCCATTATAATGAGACTCATAATGATTCAGTTGCAATGGTGATGGCTGCATTGCTGGAAGATCTGTAAGACCAAGTTAGGGACAGATTGTCATGGAGAAAATTATGTGGTTGCTAAGAGTTCACTGATTTAATTGTTTGTAGTCAAAATCAAGAATTAATGTTAGTAAGGTATCATTTTGCTTATTTAAACTGGGAAAATCAAGTTTGAGAGTTTCTACTTAACATTGTGAAACTGTCTATCAGGAGTTATGAAATTATTCAGAAAATTGGATTTTCTGATAAACTTTTACTGAGCAGTTGATGAAATACAGGCATTATCAAGGGAATTAATGGAATGGAGTCTAGACATTTACACATTTTGCTGCTATCTTCTAGCTCTCTATTATGGGTACTTTTAAAATACTATACTAATTTGCTAAAAAAATAGGTGTAAATTACTGTAAATCACTGATTTAATTTAGTATTTAATTGCACCAATTTGTTTTGTTATTTGTTTTCTCAAGCTATGTTTTCTTTTAGGTACAATGCTATTCTTTGCTTCTTTTCTTTACCCTATATCCCTTCCTCTGAAAATTTGGGATTTGAATGCCTATGGACCAGGGGTGGGTTCTACTTACCTTTACTACCGGTTCGCAATGGGACCGCGTGCGCTTGCTCACTTTGCTCACATGCGTGCACGCTCTTCTGTACATGTGCAGAAGCATTTTCATGATGTCAAGGTCAGTGGGCGGGGCCTCCCGCCGGTTTTACTACCAGTTCTATAGAACCGGTGCGAACCGGGGGCAACCCACCACTGCTATGGACCATTTTTGGTCTAATTTTCCTTGAGTAACTTCCAAAGTCACTATTAAACTGGAGCAGAGATGTTAGAATTGGTAAAAATATTGTGTATATTGCATTCTGTCACTCCATTTCCACTTTTGTATCAATTTGGTGCATGCAAGACATGGATGGATCATAGTATTTTCAAGGAAAACAAATTTAGGAAAAAAAGGGTAATGTGGTTCAGCAATAACAATTTCGGATTGCTGCCAAGATATAGGGATCCTATATCGACAGAGCTGAGCACATAGGATAAAAGACTGGAAGTATTAACCTCTGTCTATGGAGATTCTCAGTCATCCAGCTCATGGTTGTCCCAAAGGTGCTTTTTCAAAAGGCAACTGGACTTTCTTGTTTTTCTTTAAAGACATTTCACTTCTCATCCAAGAAGCTTCTTCAGCTCTGACTGAATGGTGAGGAATGGAAGGAATGGAAGTATGTGCAAATCTGTATATTGCAGAAACAAAATAACCACTTCATAAATGCATGGCACAACGTAGAGAACAAACCCATCAGGACAAGATTCAGCAGTCAGTCTGCCTTTAAAAGACAAAGGCCACTCTTTTGAAGACAACGAAGTCCACATTTTGGACAGAGAGGACCGCTGGTTTGAAAGAGGGGTCAAAGAGGCCATCTGAGGTCAAAATTGAACATCCCTCTCTCAACAGAAGGGGAGGGATATGACATCATCTATTTCCAGTCTACAACACAGTCCTTTCAACAGCTCCCAAAAGGCTTCATACCCATTTGCACTACTCAGGTGACCCTGAGAACCCAAATAAACCTCCAAGTGGCCTCAGTGACTCTAAAAGAATGCAAATGACCAGCTGTCTGCAAGGAGTATAAAACCTTCTATTCCCTACCATCCAGTCAGAGCTGAATAAGTTTCTTGGATGAGAAGTGAAACATCTTCAAAGAAAAAACAAGACAGTCCAGCTGCCTCTTGAAAAAGCATCTTTGGGTATTAACCTCTTATTTTTGAAACCCTTTTGCCTACATACCTTTCTGTCTGGGTATAGGTGGCTTGGTAATTACTACTACCACCAATACTTTCCAGAGAGATTTTATGTGGTGAGAGAGAAATAGGAGCCTCATAGACAATTTGCTTTATTAAGATAAAAAAAGGAAAAAAATATTTTAAAAGGTATAAATTCCTTTGCTCTACCTCCTTGAGCTGTGTCACTAAGGAAATCAATGCCACCCCTTTGTGGGATTCATCAATCTCGCAAGGCTTGTCTAGAATAAAAAATTATTAAAACGGGAAAGAGAAAATGCAAAAATCAGTTTGTAGTTTTAAGCTATGTGCTAAAATATTCGATGGCTGTTAGCTCTTCAAGGTGGCCCAGACATGAAACCAAAACCATAAGTACCAATGCTACCTTTATTATAAGATTACTATAGTAAAACCTTGCAAGTCTGAAGGCACTTGGCCCCTCCTGGGCCTTTAATTACCAGAGTACTAAGGAGGGTCCCTTCTAAGATGCTTTCTCCACCCCTGTCTTTCCTTTAGATTTAGTTCTCTCTTATCAGACTGTTGTCAAGGCTGTGATTCTTCCTCCTGTCTCCAAGGTTTTTCACAGCTCATTACATTGGAAAGAAGATAAAAATACACATTTCAATTTAAAAGGATCTCTCACTGAAAAAAATTATGCAATTATATGAAGAGAAGGGCTGCATCTTGTCACCTGGTATAAGGGCTGGCAGGCAGGCTGCAAGTGTAGACCAGAAGGTGGGGACAGGGGCTCACCTGCCTATTAACTGTAGTTTGTTATAACAACTTCTCTCCTTTCAGAGCTCAAGGAGGCTTTTCGGGAGTTTGACAAAGATCGTGATGGCTACATCAGTTATAAGGACTTGGGAGAATGTATGCGAACTATGGGCTTCATGCCTACTGAAATGGAACTCATAGAATTATCTCAACAAATTAGTACGTACCTTCTTCTATAAGTCTGTAATGCCTAAGGAATACTATGCAGTAAGGGATGTCCCATTGAGAAATGTCTTCCAGTTGCCTTTAATATGGATTCTGAGCTTTACCTCCCCTGCCTCTTTATCTTTGAGTGCTGGAATTAAAATCAGCAATACCTTTTGACTGCCTCTCATTCTTGAATTGCTTTTACAGCACGGATGTTAAAACTGACATTCATCTCTTGATCCCTCCAGTGGTGGGTTGCTACCGGTTCGCCCCGGATTGGGCGAACTGGTAGTGATGGCAGCGGGAGGCTCCGCCCACCTGCCTGGATGCTTCTGTGCATATGCAGAAGCTTCTGTGCATGAGCAGAAGGGTTGAGTGCACGCACGAGCGCGTGCATGCCCATGAGCAAACCAGTAGCGATGGGTTTTGAAACCCACCCCTGGATCCATCCCAATCAGTCATCCACCCTGTTATGAAGAGCATCCTTGAAATTATCTGCTACCTTGACTAGGAATATCTCAGGCTGATTTAGGATGACCACTTTCAAGATCATCCTTAGTCAAGAAACTCAGGGTGATCTTGAGCCAATTGCTGTCTCTCAGCCCAATCTACCTCAAAAGATTTTCAGGGTGGAGAAAAATGACAAATGGGCACAATATGTACATAACTGTGAGCAATTAGATGAAAGGTAGCATATAAATTAAACAAATAAATAGAACCCCCAAATCTTAAATCTTTGCTACCATTGTGAACTGTACCTAGAAACCCATTGTAAGAAATGCAGGGACTCCAAAATAGATGTCATATTATCTCACACACATCCCATTCAAATGTCCACCAGTTAGCAAGCAACCTACCTGAACGTTGAACTAACTGCAGCTTTCAGGTGGTCTTTAATAATAGCCCCATATAAACCATGTTGCAGAAGTCCAGTTGAGTGGAATAAGGGTATGAGTCATTGTAGAAAATCCATGAAACCTTTTTAGGTTCCTTTTTCTCACCTCCACAGAGCATTACTGTTTTGTTTTGTTTTGTTTTGTTTTGTTTTGTTTTGTTTTGTTTTGGTTTGTTGTTTTGTGTTTTGTTTTTTGTTTTGTTTTGTTTTGTTTTGTTTTGTTTTGTTTTGTTTTGTTTGTGCTGAGACCAAGCACACTTTTAAACCTTTTCTTTCACCAATCCCTTAAAAACTCTTTGAAGTCAATCCCCAATCATTTCTCCTTCTGCCAGTTTGAAATGCTGAGAATGGCAGAGAATGCCATGAACTGATCAGTATTTCTTCAGGATGACCAGTAAGGAAAAGCCAAACAAACAAACAAGTAAAATTCAAACTGCTGCAGTTCCTGGAATGAAATCTTCTCTCTCACACACATCCCATTCAAATGAGAAATAGCTAGCACCTCCATTTCCCCACCAATATTTTCAGTTTGAATTGAATCTGAATGTTGTTGTTTAAACAATCTGAACAGTTGCTAGAAAAGGAGCCACTCTGGTCTCTACAGCTTCTGTCAGGGGTGTCGACGGGTATGTGGGTGCCTTTGTGTGTCTCAAAAATGTCTAGATAGCAGCCACAACTATGTAATCAAAATCTCACCCTTGGGAGACCCCTGGATTTTGCTAAAAAAAATTGTGAACTGTGATGCTGCAAGGGTAGCATGTTAGCCACTTTTCCCAATGGCTCTAACCATGGTGGTTGGTTACTGTGCTAAAATGGGTGTACTCGGTCCATGTTGTTTTGACTTTTTCAATACCATTGCAAGTGTTCCCAGGAGTCCCGTAACCCAGGCAAAGCAAGTAGATGTGAAATGAAGAATAATGCTTTTTCGCTTCTTTTCTGCAGGGGCAAGCAGACTGCAAAGCTCCAGGGGGCTATTTAGGTTTATCTCCCTCTCCCTTCCCCACCCCCCTAGTGATTGCCTTGAAACAAAAGTTCCATGGAGTATATGTGTTAAACAGAGGTGGGAGGTTTGCCTTGAATTCAAGAAAAGGGGTGAGGCAAGAATTTCCATCAATGAAGAAAAGAACCATGCACAAAGATTGTTTCAAAGCTTTGGAAACAGTAATACTACCCTTGCTGCAGTTGCAGCTGAGCTGAAAATACTGGCTCAGCTTATTGAAAATAGACAATGGGATGGGATGGCAGGAGCCAAAACTGTTTTCAAATGAAGATAGAAGCCTCACATTAAAGATGCCCTGAATGTGCAAATGGTTGTGCTAAGGAAAAACTACTGACTGTGTAGACTTTCTAACAGGGTTCAAATTCTGATTATTTAGAAAGCACCTGAGGGCAGGACAAGAAGCAATGGATGGAAATTAATCAAGGAGAGAAGCAACCTGGAACTAAGAAGAAAATTCCTGACAGTTACAACAATTAGTGGAACAACTTGCTTCCAGAAATTGTGAATGCTCCAACACTGGAAGTTTTTAAATAGTGATTGGACAACCATTTGTCTGAAATGGTATAGGGTTTCCTGCTTGAGCAGAGAGTTGGACTATAAAACCTCCAGGGTCCCTTCCAATTCTGTTATTCTATTCTATTCTAGATTGGTAACAGTCATTTTACTTTAAATAAATATACACAATCCACATAAAAGGGAATTCTGTTGGGGGACATGGTAGTTAGAAAGATGAAACTCAGTTTCTCCCAGTATGAGATGGCTTTGGCTCATGATATAAAATATTTAATTTTGTGTTGCCCTGCTTCTTCTGAAAATGCCTTTATATGTCTACAGCTGGAGGAAAAGTGGATTTTGATGACTTTGTGGAACTGATGGGCCCTAAGCTGTTGGCGGAGACAGCAGACATGATTGGAGTTAAAGAGCTGAGGGATGCTTTCAGAGAGGTGAGCTACAGTTATACAGTTATAAGGATCAGAGATAGTAGTATTATATGCATGCCTGCTACCTTCCCATAATATATTATGGCTAAATACGTTAATAATGATTTACTGAATAAACCACATTTGGCTAGTTTCAGTCATAGACTGTTGCTTACAAAACGATTCTGGATGAGTTGAGTCAACACACTAAGCCATAAATAAGCAAATCACACTGAATCAAAGAGTGGGAAAACCATATGTGACAAATTGCATGATCACATATGGTGAGCAAAGAGTGGCTGGATAACTATATATTGTGGATGTTTAATTTTGATTAAATTGTTGCAGCCTTGATTCACAATTTTAAGTTAGGCAGTATCAACAACCATCAAATGCTTTAAACAATTGATATGTGTACCTTCAAGATGATCAATGTTTCATCAACCTAAAAAAATAAATAAGAATCAAGTCACAAAGTGAGAAACTGACACCAGAAATTATGTCCTGAATTTTTCATTTTTGATTCAGCGTCAAAGCGAAGAGTGAATGATTTAGTCATTGCTAGATGTGCCAGATGACACCAAGGACTCTGAGGATTATTCTCATTCCTAAAAACAGAGGCCCCTGTTACTCAAATTTTCCTCCAGCTTTACACAAATACAGAGGTTCCACAAGCAGAAGTAAAAAGAAATACCTCAGTTATTCCTTAAGGATACATGAAACTATTGTTAGGTTGTACACTATTAAAAAAATAACTCTAAGGCTAACTTGTAAAGGAAACAAATCTTAACTGTTTTAATTAAGTTTTCTCTTACTATGTAAAATATCTTTGAGTAACTCTCTTACTCTTGATATGCATAGATTCTAATGTGATATTTAGACAAGAAATAGCTTTATCATTATATTTTAGCTTTTTGAAGTATTGTTGTTGCGTAAGAAACCTTCAACCAGGTTTTTCTCTGCAGAATTCTGAGGAAAATTCAGGGGTATTGTTTTTCTTCAGTTTTTCATCCTTGACTAAGAAGTATATCCTCCATACTTTAACTGCTGTTTGTTTTTTACATTCTTCTAGGTCATGCTAATACCCCACCTTCAGACTTTCCCCCCTTCCTTAGGTAAAACAGACATAAAGGTATATTCTTTATGTATCAAAATAATTCTTAGTAAGACCAACAAGGCATTGGAGAAAACCGATAGAGAAACTAATCAAATACTTGTGAAATTAAGAAGAATCTTCCTTAGTATTGTCTGTTTTACTGGAATCATCTAGGTATAGGAAATAATGAAATGCTGGACTCCAAGGATGTTGTATATTTGGGTTTCATTGAAAACAAGTCACGAGTCTGCAGGCAGAGAAAATTATTTAGAGTAGTAACTGGAGACTATGGTACCATTTTGAACTGAGAAAGCAAAATTACAAGTGATTATTTTCAGGCCATTAGGAACCATCCTCTTGCAACATGCAGAAACCTAAAAATGTTTAATTCACATATACTGTAGCTGTCAAGCTTTTGCCTGAATACATCTAGCAAACAGAAATTCACCATCTCACAGAATGATTGGAGTGTCAATATGCTCTTCTTGTTAACAAACTGGGTAGAGTTTCCCTTCCTGTAATTTACATGCATTCTTCCATGTCTATGACTCTGGGATGAGAGAAAAACAGTTTTTGTGCACATTAATGTATTTTAGGAATTTAAATTGTGTTGTCATTGTTTGTTCTCAAGAGTAACATTCACAGTTCTTTCAATCTCTTTTTATAGACTTAGTTTTTTTATAGATTTAATTTCTAATCCCTAATCATCCTCATGGCCTTGTTCTGAGCCTATTTCAAATTCTCTGAATCCTTCTTAAGTAATACTTCTTAACTGCAGCAGCTACCATAGATGTAATGAATGCTTTTTCAGGCATGATTTTGGTTTTGAATTTGCAAAATTCACATGAGTATACATTGTAATGTTATTATGTGCAGCTGCTTGAAATGTCTGCTGTATGCAAGCCCGTTTGGATGGGCAGGATATATACGTAAGGATGTATTGTATTGTATTGCATTACATTGCCCTGTATCAACTATTTGTTTACTGACTTACTTATTTATATCCTGCCTTTATTTATATCCTGCCTTTACTTATTTATATCCTGCCTTTATTATTTTTGCAAATAACTCAAGGTGACTGACATATCCAACACATCTTCCTCTTCCTATTTTCCCCACAACAACAACCCTGTGAGGTGGATTGGGCTGAGAGAGAGTGACTGGTCCAAAGTCACCCAGCTGGCTTTGATGACTAAGGTGGACTTTGAACTCATGATTTCCCGCTTTCTGGTCTGGTGCCTTAACCACTAGACCAATTGCCATTGTTTATTAGTCAGCTAAGAACAGAAAACAATACTGGGTTCAAATAAGACTGGAGAAGTATGAGAGATAACTAAATGAAGAGTGAAATAAGGTGTTTGTGTATTTTCTCCTTCCAGTTTGATACAAATGGCGATGGGCAGATCAGCATAGCTGAACTACGGGAAGCAATGCATAAGCTCCTAGGGCAACAGTTGAACTACCAAGAAGTGGATGAGATTATCCAGGATGTTGATTTGAATGGGGATGGTCTTGTGGACTTTGAAGGTATGACAGGGAAAGTCCTTTTGGGATGAAAACTTTTATTTTACAAATAGAGTAGGATGTCTGAACTGAAGCCGAGAGACTATTTGGAACTTGGTTTTGGTTTTGGGAAGGAATATATTGAACAGGCTGGGAGAAAAAATATATATTAGGACTTACCAATTTCTATTTAATAGAGAATACAGTCAAAAAGGGACAGCTTGAAAGCTAAGATTTTTTTAAAATTTCAAAGCAGCAAATACTAACCAGAATACCTATATATAAACTTAACTTTTAAACTCAACTGCCGTAGAGCATTTTATCTTTTCCTATTGGCAGGCATATTTTAACTGGAGAAGATAAACATGTGAACTCAATGGTTGGCTCTAAATCTTTACTCCGTGAAGATTTTTACTCAGTGAAAAACAGCAAAATCATGTTTTGCTCCTATAAAGCTCTGTTGCCTCTTGCAATCTATTTACCTTTCTTTCTTTCATTCTTTTTTTTTAAGGGAGGGTGTCCATTGATACATATACATCTGTTTCTTGGTCAAACTAGTGTGTGATGAAATACTGTAATATTGGAAAAATGAGGTGAATTTTTACAAAATGAGGATCTATAGCTAACTAGTCCATTCCTACTTCTCAGCAATGTTTTTAAAAATGATACATTCTTTTTTCTCTCCTAATGTGCTGATATCCTGGCTCTTCTCCATATAGAGTTTGTACGGATGATGTCTCGCTGAGAAAAACAAGCAGCAATGTAAGAATGAAGTGCCTTGAGAAGGACAACTGCCATAAATTCCAGCTTCAATCAATCCAGCCATTAGGCAGCAAAGAATTTCCCACATATCTTATGTTTTCTGCCTGGAACCAAGCAGCTATTCCTATAATCCAGAGAGTTCAGCTAGTTTCAGCACCTTTAAAGATGTTGTGGACATTAACCAGAGGAATACCAGATTTCTGTATTAAACGTGGCCATGAACTTCCCATAGATTTCAGATGCCATCATATCTTGATAACTGTTTGCAGTAACACTGAATTTCCACTTTGTTCATTCCAAGCAGGCTTAACCAACAAATCTCCCTAATTGTGTGTATTTGTGAAAATATTCCAAATACCTCTGTTCTACTATAAGAAGGGCTGTTTCTCTTTATTTGTTCTTCCTCTAACAGCTGTTTTCTGTTTCAAAATATATTTTGCTTTCCACTGTGGCATAAATAATATTTCATCATTTCTAATATGCCATATAAAGTCATAAACTCTTCGAAATGAAGGCAAATATACACGTTCCAGGATAACAATACGAAATTGAATTTGGGTTGGTCACCAGATCCAGAGATTTACTGGAGTAAAGAGTAAATCTCTGGTCCCGTTGATTGACCCAAATTCAGTTTTGCACCATAAACTCTTCTTCCTAAGCAGGATAGAAATGCAAAGTGGTTGACTTATGGCCCCAAATAGAATTGCTAGGATCTAGATAGGCAGCTGGTTACTCTTAAATCAGTTTTAATGTCTGAATAAAACCGATGATACAAAAATATTGATCAAGTCCACAGGAAGTAGCATCTGTGATCCAGAGATGTATCTATTTTGATGGAGCTGGAATGCTAAAAGATAGAACTACAGTACTGCTTCTTTTGTCTAATTCCAGGACATATGTCTTCCATACACTCCATGAAAACATATGCTTTGTAGATCACCCTCTACCATGCCAGAGTACATGACACAAAACAATGGATAAGTCACAGGAGGACCAATTCTGATTGAATATTAGAAAAAATATGCTAACTGTAAGAACAGATTAGTAGTGGAACCAATAACCCAGAAGAAGGTAGACTCCATTTCACTGGTTGTGGTCCAGCAAAGACAATTATTTGTATGAGATGCTTTAACTTGGATTCCTGCATGGAGGAAACTCAATGACTAAATGTCCCCTTTCAGGACTATGATAAAAATATATTAATCTATTTTATTAGTAATTTTGTATTTGTATTGGTAATTTTTAGTCTTCTGGAGAACCCTAGAAACTCTTGGAAGCTTGCTAGAATTCCCACAAAAAAAATTGTTGAACTAGCTTTCCTATTGTGTCTTTGAAAATGTACAGCCTAAGGGGAATGTAGAATGAGCTTCAAGATGCACTCAAACACCAGAACCCAGCATGTTGTCCTAAATAAGTGTGCACCAAAATGTTTCACAATTTCAGAATGATTTCACAGCAGACAAATAAAAGTCTACGAAGATAGGGATTCCAGAGAAATCCAAATTAAAGCATTCCCAAAAGATGTGTAGTCCCTTCCTGAATACATTGAGCAAAGAAAAGTAACTGCATTCTTAAACTGTTCTTCCTGCTACCATTTTTATAACTATCAGAATCTCCCTCCTGTAATTTAAATTCATTTTCAATAACAACAGAAAACAGGTCTTAAATTTTTATATATGTACCATCTTTTATTTGATTACAAACTGAATATGAACTAGCAATATCGTACTTGAGGAGTCTGTCATGTCCCCTCTCACCTTTTATTCTGAAGGCCAAGCATCCTTGTTCTTTTAATTCCTATTCTTCAGATGTCATTTTTAGCCTTCTAGCCTCTGCTGGTTTTCTTTGAACATGTTTCAGTTTATCTGAAACTTTCAGGGGGAATGCAGACAACGGGTACAATTTCTTCCTATTACCTATAATAATTTGGTTATACATTTGCCTTTTTATAGCCAGATGAACTGCTGGTTCATGTTCAGCTTCTAATCAACTACTGTTCCAAAAACTGCTGCACAAGTATTATAAACAAGCCAATAATTTTCTATTCTATAATTGCATATTTTGTTTTTGAAGTGAAGAATTTTGGCATTTGTCTCTGTTAAATTTCGTTCATTCTCAGCCCATTTCTCTAATCTGACAAGTTTGTTCTGAATTTTATTTTCTTTGGAATTATCCTTCCCAGTCCTGTGTCATCTGCTAATTTAATAAGCATTTATTCAGCCTACATATGCAAGTTACTAATAAAACATATACTTATTTTACAAGTTTTATTAATGCAAGTTATTAATAAAAATGCTGAAAGACCCAGGGCCACACCTTATTTCTGCCCCCTCAATACCTCACCTAGTTTGATGAAGAGCCTTTAATAAACACTGAGTACAATTTTCAGGTAGTTATGAATCTATTTATTATGCTATTACTCCACATTTCTCTAGCTTGCTAACTAGAATGTTATTCGGTGCTTTTATTGAATGCCTTGCTGGAATAATACTATGTCTACAGTATTTCCATGATAAATTAAAGAAGTTAATTGATCAGAGTTACATTACAGTTAGTATGTAAGATTTCTTTTGGTAAATCCAAAGAGAGTAATTTCTATGTTTGCAGATAAAGCTTTTTATGATCTGCTCTAGAATTAATAAAACTCTGGTCTATGATTTGTAGGTTTCTCCTTTTTCTCTTTTTGGAAGGTGATCTGACATTTGATTCGCTCCCAAGACTATAGGGAGTGTACACTCAAAGATAGTACAGGTGCTCAATCACCTCATTTAGTGATTGTTCAAAGTTACAACAGCACTGACAAAAGTGACATATGACAGTTTTTCCTACCTATGACCGTCGCAGCATCCTCATGGTCATGTTTTCAAAATTTAGATCCTTGGCAACTAACTCATATTTATGATGGTTTCAGGGTCTTGGGACCATATGATTACATGCAAAGTCAATGGGAAAGCCAGATTCACTTAACAACTGTGTTACTAACTTAACTACAGTGACTCACTTAGAAAGCTTGTAAATGGAGCAAAATCCACTTAACAACTATCTTGCTTAGAAACAGAAATGTTGGCCTCAATTGTGGTCGTTAAGTCAAGGATTACCTGTATATAAAAGTTCAGCTAAGCCATCAGGAAATTCATTCAGTACCATATAATACCAATTAATCTGCATCTGGAAATTTACAGTAAAAATAATAGGTATTTCCTGATTGTGTTTCTCTCAATATCATTAGACATACAAGTGAATGGCTGAAGCCTTAACAAAGTGATGAATAGAATAGAGCTGGAAGGGACCTTGGAGGTCTTCTAGTCCAGCCCCCTGCTCAAGCAGAACCTATACTATTTCAGATCAGCGGCTATCTAGTTTCTTCTTAAAAACTTCCAGTAATGGAACGTCCACAATTTCTGAAGGCAAACTATTCCTTTTCCTAATCCAATTGATATTGGTAGCTTTCTTATATTGCATTTACAGAAGTGATTTATTAAAATTCTGAAGAATATTATTATTATGTTTATGGGACACATTTGAAGTGCTAAAGATCAAGATTATTAAAAGTAAAGGGGTGGAATATAAAGTTGGTTTATTTGATCAAGGTTAAAATAGATATGTTGTTATCTCTGGTAATCTTTAGTGGATTTATACAGATCAGGACCGAATGACAAAGTATTAAGGTTTTGTTTATAGATGAGATATGGAAAAAAGAAATCATTTATTGTATTTTAAGAGAAGATTGTAAGTTACATTTTTTTCTATAATCTTATTCTTTCTTTTTCTTTCCTCACACCAGACCTGCAGATGAGGATGAAGATGGCAATAATAATTTAAATTCAAATAAACATTAGCATAACAGCCACACAGATTGACTAAAGCAACAAAACAATGAGAGAATGCCTTGCTTAACATAGCCATTTTAAAATTTCTCATTAGGTATGATTCCCATTGTTACACAAATTAAACTTTTGGACCAAATTTTGACACAGCACTTTGTTCTCTTTCCAAATGCACCCCTACTGTTGTCTAAGGGATCAAAATTATTCATAGGGCATCATCCTAATCTTATTCTAAATAGATTTCACAGTAAAATGTTTGTGGAAATTGGCTTTTAATTTTTGTTGCATTTCCATCATCCATGACATAAACACAGCATTTTTCCCTCTATTATACCTAACTAATAGATTCTTGAAGATGAGTCCCAAGGGATTATGACTAGTAAAGAAAATATTCATATTTTATAGCCTAAATCAGTACAATACAAAGTTGCGTTCGTTTTTTTAAACAGAAGAAGCAAATTTAAAAAATCAATACAATGGATATTGTACTGTATTTATTTATTTGTTTGTTTGTTTATTTGTTTATTTTATATTGCCGCCTATTTGACCATGGCGATTCAAGGCGACTTACAGAATACAAAACCACATTTAAAACAATAAAAACAAAAGGAATCAAGTAAATTAATATAGTACACTATACAGTGGTGGGTTTCAAATAATTTCACCACCGGTTCGGCAAAAATATGAGCGTGCACATGTGCGCACACATGGCTTCTGCACATGAGCACACGCATGGTGAGGCTCGACCGAGCAGCCTTTTGGGGCCTGGTCCCCTCAATCTCTGCTCTCTGGCAGAGAGAGTTGGGGCAGCGGCTGCTTCTCTCCACACTGCTGGGAGAGGGTCTTGTACAATTTAGCAGCTGTGAGCCATCGCTTTCCTCTAAGTCCCATCCAGACAGCGCTGTGGCACAGAGAAGCAGCAGCCACCCCACCCACCCACCCGTCCCTGCAACAACAAACCACACAAGCCATTTAATGGGTTCCATCCTGCTCTGGGTTCCCTAGGCCCGCCAGCAGAACCAGGTCTTCAGCGCCTTCCGGAAGAGTATTAGAGTGGAGGCCATTCTAATCTCTGGGGGAATGATGTTCCAGAAAGAGGGAGCCACCACAGGGAAGGCCTTTCTTCTGGGTCCCACTAGATGTATCTCCCTTGGGGATGGGACTCACAACATTCCCTGCCTCCTGGCTCTGATAGGTCAGGTAGATGTGACCGGCAAGAGACACTCCCTCAGATAACCTGGTCCCAAGCTATGAAGGGCTTTGAAGGTGACAACCAGCACCTTAAATTGCACCCGGAAGCAAATCGGCAACCAATACAGCTCCTGCAGAAGAGATGATGATACATGTGCACACCGAGGTCAGCACAAAACCATGCGGGGTGCTGCATTTTGTATACAGTCTGTACGGCATGTTGGAACAGCTGTTTTTTAATAGATGAACCTGCCATATATTTATATATATACTGCTCAAAAAAATAAAGGGAACACAAGCAGAAGACATCCGAGATCTGAATGAATGAAATAGCCTTATTAAATACTTTGTTCTTTACATACAGTAGTTTATACACTGCTCAAACAACTAAAGGGAACACAAAGCTACTGTATGTAACGAACAAAGTATTTAATAAGGCTATTTCATTCATTCAGATCTCGGATGTCTTCTGCTTGTGTTCCCTTTATTTTTTTGATCAGTGCTTTAAAATACCTTTCTTTAGCTTGGTGTTCTACAAGTAGAATGGATTCCAATCTCTGATTCTTAGCCAGCACTGGACTTGAAATTCAGACTCCAATGGCATGAACTACAGCTCCATGAAAAGTTTTGAAAAGTTTAAACTTTATTTTTTACGTTTCTGTTTTCATTCCCCTTGTCAAACAAAGTTGCTGCAATGGTCATAAATGAGAGGATTGGTTTTAAGTCACTTTTTCAGTGCAGTTTTAAGTTTGGCCACTAAACAAATGGTTGTAAATTGAAGACTACCTGTACCTCACTTTTATTCACAGGGGAAAGAGCAAATAATGAACTTCTATCATGTAATATATGATGTAAGTACATAGCTGTAATTTATGTGATAACCCATCATGATTTTGACACTTGCAGTTTGCTGCATGTTCGTGAATTGCCCTCTCCCCATATGCCTACTATCTGATGGAAAAAATTGTTCAACTAAACATAAACTGATGTTTTTACAGATAACAACAAAGATACTATCTTTGTTCCAGAATCTGGAATCCATCATTAAAAAACTCAGCACCTGAAATGAAGCCAAAACTATTTTTTACTATTAATACAATTTTATACCTTCATTATCATCAATGTACAAAACTATAAAAGCAGCCATACAATAAAAATCGTATCCCTCAGTCCAAAGTAATTTCCTCCTTTCTTTATAAAGTCTATCAAAGAAAAAAAGAGGCAGTTCAATTGCCATTAAGGTTTGGAAGCCCACAGCAATGAAAATATCTGCACAGACTTATATGTCTGTTGCAGAAAGGCCTGGCACCACTCTGGGAGAAAAGTGTTGCAAAATTATCCAGCCAGTGAACCATACAGTACCCAAAGAAAAACCTTGACCTCTGATCCCTGACTTTCTCACCCCTCTTTGAATAAAAATTCCAGTTTCAGGCATAGGAAATATAGAAACAAAAATAAAAATGCAAAAATAGGTCATGTGAAAATCTAGGATTTTAACGTTTGGGGTAACAGAGTCCCTTCCCTTCCCAAAAAAAGAATGCCCCAAACTTTTAGGGGGCTCAAAACGGTTCAACAGGGCACTCTAGTACATGTAGAAGCCCGGGGTAAAAAGGCAACCGAGGCCGCAGCGACTTCCTTTCGGAGCCCGAAGGCCTGACGAAAGGACATCAAGTAGGCCACTGTTCGGGCCCTCTCGTCGCTATGGAAACGGACGGGACGGGTGTGATAGTACGCAGTGAGGTCACAGGGGGAGGGAGCGAGACACGTAGGCGCGAGATGAAGGCGTAATCCGCGGCGGCCACTCGCAGGACTCGAGCGCTCCGAGCGCGAGGGGAAGAGGAGCGAAAGGGGCCAGAAGGCGCGCGTGCTCGCTCTCCCAGGGTCCAGAGGCCGCCTTAGAACCGTGGGCGCGAAAGAGGGAGGAAACGCGCGTCCGCTCGCTTGAGGGATTGAAGGGTGAAGCGCGCGCGCCTCCTCGGGGCGCGAGAAAGAGCCCCCCACTCGCCGGGGAACCAAGCCGGGACAGGCAGCTGAAGAGGCGTGGAGCCGGGAAGAGGGGGGGGAGGGGAAAGGAGGGAAGACCCACGCAAGCCGATTGGGTAGGCGGCGTTTAGGACGCCTCCCACCAATCAGCACCGTCGGAGGAGAAAAAAAAAAAAGAGTTTGCCAGCCCGGGGGTGTGTGCTTTTTGTAGCCTCCCCTCCAATCGGAGCAGCGGCAGTCGCGGCTGAAGCCGGAGCAGCGCGCCAATCGCGGGCCAGCCACTACTCGAGAGCGCGGAGTCGGGGATGTCCTACAAGCCTATCGCGCCTGCCCCCACCAGCTCAGGAGCCGCCGGCACCAGCAGCAGTAGCGCCAGTCCCGCCCCCGGAGCCCCGCCGGTCGGTAAGAGCCCCCGCCTGCCCGCCCGCCCGCTCTCTTCCCGCGCCCGAGCAGCGGTGGCCGGCTGGAAGCCGAACAGGGCGGAAGGCTACACGGCGGAGTCGCCTGGGGTCAGTGGCCGGCCCTAGAGGGTTGCCTCACCTCCCTCCCAACCCCTCCGCCCTTTTCCTGGCAGGTTTTTCCTGGGCCTTCCAGAGCAGCTGGATAAGACGGAGGGCTCGGGGGAGGCCGACCAGAAAAGGGAAGAAGGGGAAAAGCCGGGTTGTATTAGAATAGGAAAGAAACAAAATGAATGCATACTTTAAACAAAAGGGGTGGGGGGACCTAAGGTGATTAATATATGTGTGTGTGTATATATATATATGGATAATATGCGGTTGTTTTATCACACTGATTCTTTTAAGGTAAGAAAGGGCTGCTGGTTAAAAAGAATAGCGAACCGGCCCAGAAAAGTGAAAAGTTTAACTTCTGGATGGTAAAAGTGGGGGGAAATAAACAGAAGGGAAGCTCAGTCTGCATATTTACAGAGGTTTCTTGATTTATATTCGGTGTGGTGGCATAGAATTTGCAGTTTGTGCTAAGAGCCCCATTAAACTCGGCTGGATTTCTGTTTGAGCAATATAGGGTTGCATAATATCAGGTGAATCACGTTTTGCTAGGTTAGCAATACACTAGAGTTTAATTGAAAAATAAGCACAAAGGAGGACAAGTTACAGTTTTTACTTATAACTCTGGCTAACTAATTTGAACATAGCATAAGTGGCAGTGGCCAGGAAGAAGCAATTTCATGTACATGAGGAATGGAACTGGATCCTGCGGTTTGCATTTCTTGTCAGTTTTTCTGTAAAAAACATTCTGACCGAGTGTTCCCTAGGATCTGGTTACCATGTTTAGGAACGGAAATTACTTTTTTCCTAGTACACAGACTACTAACTCTGCTCTTTGTATATATCTTGGCTTGGGTACAGAAAGTTCCTGGAGGTATTAGTTGTGCTGATGCCCTCCACCATGTACTTATGCTTCTTTTGGCATACTTGAGTATATTATATAGGTTTGAAGATAAATATTGGGATGAATGTATGTATATGCTTGAAAAAGATTGAGATTGACTTCCTGATTGTATACTTACAGGATGTTAATTATTCATAAATAGGTGTATAAACTAGAGCACAGCAGGAAAAATTTTAGGTCAGCGATGAAGTATATTCTTTGCATAAAGGATATTCAGGTTTCAGGTGTGATATCCAGTTTGATTTTATAATACTTTTATTAAACTTTACAATTAAAAGATGAAAACTAATATAAAAAAAGAAAAATCAGTGAAGAAAAAAGTAGAAAAGAAACAATAAGAATGTAACAAAGAAATATATATTTTATATATTATGCAATATTTTGTTTCTATCCATATTAAGTTAAATTTAGTTCTTTAATTGTAATCTTTAGTCCCTTCTAGTTCCCTCTAGTGTATAGAGTATAACCTTCAAGTCCTGTCAAATCATTTTTCAAACAAAAACATTTCCCCACGGGAATGCTTCTTACAATTAATTTCAATTCCCCCACCCCCATTTATCTGGACTTTTACACTTTTTGTAATTTTCCAAAATCAAAGTTCTAATCACCCATTTACTGTTCCAATAATTTTTTAAGTCCTTAAACTTGTATTTAGATCTTATTTTGCTAGGGATTAAAAGAAATTCACCTAGAGTTGTAAAATTTGTCAATTCAAAGATTCTTAATAGCTGAAAAGCAGTTAACAAGCAATTTCTGAAAGTAATTAGAGAAGGAAGTATGGAAACCAAGTGTCATTAAAGTGCAGACCATGGTTTGAGCAAAGTTGGCTTTCCCTCGATTCCTAGGGCTGGAAACTGCTGTCTTGCAATCTTCGTATGAGGAGCAACTATCTGGAGCAATTGTGGGTGATCTCAAGTCCTCTCTTTGTCCAGAAAGGAATGATAAAATGTTGGTTTTCTCACTGTCACTTCATTCTGCTAGCAGAACAGTCTTTAGTTTGCCATTTTTTCCATGGAAGTCCTCTTGAGTTAGATTTTAGATAGCAAATTGAATTATCAGCCACAGCATGGACAATCACAGGCAGCCAGAATAATACTGTTGGATTTGATCAATCTATCATTTAAACTTCATGTATTTTTGGGTTATTAACTAAATTTCCTACATGCGTGTATTAGATATCTGCAGAACACTAATAGTTTTCAAAGAAAAGAATCAGCAGACTTTTGTTTTATAAAATCTTCCTTTTCTAGTTCTCATATTTTCTTCAGATCAGGGAAGTTAATTGCATGTCTGTAATTACTGTGCTGATGTGGTTGTATAAAAAACTTGTAAGTGATTTAAAATGCTAGACACTTGGTAGAAAACATATTGCCTTTATGCTAATTAGAACTATATGGATGCCATCATTATTAGATAGTGTTAAAGAAAATTGTACAGTATATGATATAACAATTTTGAAAGGACATTTCTTGTGGAAGAAATTTCTACTAAACTAACATGTAGTAGCCATAGGTGAATCATTTGCACAAATTAAAAAACAGATACAGTAAGTTAAGTGGTTCAGAAAAGAGATCCAAATTGTATGCAATCTTGGTAGGGGCCAACCTTAAGTAGTTATTTTTCTGGATTCATCTGATCAAAATAATTGGGTTGCTTTCATACTCACTTTCTACCACACATTAATTCCAAATGATTCATAGTCTAAAAACATACCCTTTATAAGTGGGATAATAATACCCATTTTTCTCAATTAAGGACTTTGTATTTTCAAGTTTTCTATTTTTAGAAACTTGTCCTGAGTTGAATAGTTTTAGTAGATCATAATGTGATACAGGAATGATGAGTAGTGTACCATTTATGTGTACATTTGTATTTTTTACTTGTTAAGTGTCTATCATTTTATAATAAAATTCGCAGGATTACTCATAAAATACTGAAATTATAGTCTACTTTTAGAGTGTTAGGCTCACATGGTTAGGATGAGAAAAGCAAGATGAAGTTGACAGCCAAGAATAATGGCTGAATTCAGATCAGTATAGGGCAGCAAGTTCTCAGTAAAAACCCATAAAATTCTGCTTTATGTTATATATTGGGCTGCCGGAAGTTGAGTTAAAACCCACAAGCTACTGCGGTCAAGACGGAAAAGCCAGGGGGAAGTTGTCTGTTCACATTATAAATATATATATTTTTTACTTCTGCCTCCATTTCTTAAAGAAGGCTTGTTGATACTTCCAAGATATTTTATTCATTTATTTATTAAACTTCCACCTTGTCTCAGTCTAGCAAGGCAAAATCAGTTGCTCATATAATGTTTTAACAAAATACAAAACATCCAAGGTATGATTAAAACAATAACATCATAAAACTCCAGCAAAAACAAAATGCACACAAATAACAAGGGGGGGAACATGACAGCCCCATATAAAGTGAATTACAGTAGTCAGCCAGATGGTAATGAAGATATGAATTAGCTGAGTCCTTCTGCACCAGGTAATGGTGACAATTAGTTTGTCACTCATGATAAGATTACAATGTCAATATAATATTAGAATCTAAAATAAGAGAAGACAGGATGAAGCCTAAAATTAAAATTATTTCAATCCTAACAAAGGAATCAAAGATATAAAACATAATAAACATGCAAGAACAAGCATTCTATTCAAAGACTGGTAAAAATAAGTTAAAATAAACTAATAGCTGCATTCACATATAAGCAGCTGTTTAAAAGTGTATGTGTGAATATATTTGCATTTTTAAATAAACTTTCTAGGATTAGAAAGAATGTAAGCTACATACACTTGTGTAATGTACATAAATATTGGCTTGGCAAGATGTGTACTAGTCCAAGGAAATTCTAGTTTGTTAATGGTGAAAACATTAAATGGTTTACACTTTCAAGAATAAAATTCTTCTTTCATCTCATGTAAATTTGACCACATTCTCCAAATTTAAATTTAGAAACAATTTAATCAAAAATACTTAACATTAAAATAATGGTGTTTATTTTAGTGAGACTATCGAAGATCCTCTATGCAAAATTAATATATTTTAAATAGATGCTGGTAATAAAAATCCTTTCTGGGCTCCAGGTTTGGTTTAGTTTTTTCAGCTACTGAATATATTACTCTAATTCATGCATTTCTGTATATTAAAAAAACTTTCCAAATAAGCGCCCCAAAGTTGTGAAGTAACACATTCAGATATGTTGTGTAATTATTTGTTAGGTATTTATGATAGGAACAAGAAATCATGCAATTAACATTTTTCTTTAAATCATGAAAAATTGTGAATTGGTTAATCACCTCCTTGAGTTGAAATGAATGTTTTGAACACCAAAAATCAATTCTTTATCTAACTGATTGAGGTCTGGTGACCGATTTCCAAGATTAATAATATATTGTTTTTGATCTATACAAAAATAGTCACACCCAATTCCCTTTCCCCTATTTTATATTATATACAAGTTGCAGTAAAACTCTTCCAGTTGTATGATTTATGTCCACTGTCCTACAGAATTATTCAAATAGAAGTTTTGTCATTTGAGAATCAAATTCCCACGAGCAGTTCAGAAAGCCTATATTGTAAATCTGGTTCTAGATTTTTTAAAAACAAAACAACCTCTTAGTTTACTCAAAACAAATCCTTCCATTATTGTCTTAATTATTTCCACAAAGAGAAGTAACAAAATTACAGTATTACTCCCTTTCATGAAGTTCATGAGCCCCAAGTATTTAGATTAAGCAGTAAGCTTAATGCCATCACTTATTTTTCAGCTACCAGTGTTCCATCACCATCTGGTTCTGTCCCTGGAACATCTGCCCCCTTTCGACCTCTCTTCAACGATTTTGGGCCCCCATCTATGGGCTACGTGCAGGTGAGCACATAAGGATGAGGAGGGTCTTGCCCATTGATGGAAATAATGGAAGAAGGATCCTGTTTTTGATTTCTGCTGTTGATCTTGCAGGCTATGAAGCCACCAGGTGCCCAAGGTTCCCAGAGCACATATACAGATTTGCTTTCTGTAATTGAAGAGATGGGCAAAGAGATACGACCTACATACGCAGGTAGCAAGAGTGCTATGGAACGACTGAAGCGAGGTAGGAAGCATTTCATCATAGTATATCAATACAATTACTTTTGTGCAGCTACTCAAATTAGTCCTGTCAGAGGCTGGCACTAGCTGAAATTCTCAGGTTCCTCATAAGTTCACATATATGTGGCTGACTTTCCCAGAAGTTCTGCAAACTTACCAAACTTGCAATGTTGCACAGTGATTAATAGATGACTAATATGCCAATTTCCAATTAACTCTTCCAAGTCATGACTCTTCCAAGTTTGTAATTGAAAGTTGGTTTAAAGTCAGGAAAGAATGAAAAGAACTCCCTAACCCTAAGGCCAGAGCTCTCAGTATTTCCAGCCAAATCAGTTCTCACTAGTGCAAATAGCTATTCCACAGTAGGAACAGGTAGAACCTGCTAGATTAGAATCTATACCCAGCAGGTATAAACCTAGCTTGTAGGGAAATGTTGATTTGTTTCTGCAAGACAGCTGTACAACAGTTCCTTATGTTGTGTACTGCATTGCTGCCAGTTACTGTCTTGTACTTTCAGATTTATTCAAACCCACATATCTGCATTTTGCCTTATATCTTCTGATCGATCTTGAATTTAATTAATAAGGTATATATAAATATTTTATATGGAAGATGCTACAGTTGCAAATTCTGTCACGTATTTTGTGGTTTGTGTTGCTACTTTGAAATCCATTATTCAGCGTACCTTACTCTTGTGACTTTCTTTCTGCAGGTATTATTCATGCTCGGGCACTAGTAAGAGAGTGTCTGGCAGAGACAGAACGCAATGCCCGCACGTAACACTCGCTTCCTCCTGGCACCACCCGTGGAGGATCCTAGCACTTTCCAGCTAATCAACATTTTAGAATCTGGAGTTTTCCCCTTCCTTTCAAATCTTTCTACCAATCAGTGTCTCAAGTCTTAGAACTGTGATCGCCTTCAAAGACCTTTATACCAATTGGCACCTAAGAATCTGAAGTATCTCCACTTGCATCACAGAACTTCCCGTCAATTGGCATTCTGGGAGTATATACAGAAAGCGTTCATTGTGTATATCCTTGGTTTACTAGTCGAAATAATTGCTGGTGACAAGTTCTATATCTTTATAAAATACATGGGGTTTTTGAATAAATAAAAATCTTTAGAATTTGGATTATCTCTTCTTCACTGTGCTTTTCTATTATTATTTTTTAATGTGGTGAGGGAAATATTCTCTACCTCACTAAAATATTCCTGAAGGGCATGTATTGCAAGATATGCTTCCTTAGTAAAGCAGTATGAAGCCCTCTCTTCCTCTTGCAACAAGAGTCTCAACCAGCGATCACTGAGCCTGTATTGGAAAACTTGTAATAAAATGTTTCTACTCCTGTATGACTTGTTTTTGCTGTTATTGTGTCAATGTTAGGAGTATAGTACACCTATGTTAACATTTCATTTCTAAAGCTCCCCCCCCCATAAACTAGGTTTCTGCTGCTTCCCATTCTCATTGGGGCAAGAGGCTTTCATGAAATAGTTTCATCTATTTGAAGTTGGGTTTTTATTTCTAAATAAAATATTTCTATGCTCCTTCAGCCATTCAAATCTTAAGTGGCCTTACAAGGAGAACAAAAATTGCTAATGCAATAGTCAGTAGAAAATACCCTGTGTTGATTATTATGTATATTTTAACCATCATGAAACAGTATCATTCATCCCAAGCATATTTTCAACTCACTACTTGGCTCTCAAATACACTTTGAAAATGGCAAGTTTGCAAAGCTTTCTAAATATTAGGAATGATGATACAGCTCTTTATTTCTGGTGATACCATACTCAACAGCAAGGGAGCTCCAGTGAAAACGCTTGCCCCAATTCCTCTCTTACCTCATCTTATTGGAGGTTAGGACTCTCAGTACACATGCCACCAACCTTACTTGAGCATGCAGATTTTGCTTGAATATATGGTGGTGCAGATAACCAGGCCCCAAGCTTATATGTGGAGAGAATTCCAGTAATCCAAATAGGAAGTGACATTGAACTGAGATGCATTGGCCTGGCCATGTCTCCTGTTGCAGTCAAAGCTAGGCAAAGGATCTCCAAGGCAGTTTTTACTTGTGCCAATGGGAATGGAGAATCCTCAGACTGTAAACCAGCTCTTCCTGGAGCAACTACTCTAAACATGTTTTGGCTTATGAACTGGGAACCACCCAGCTTTTACTCAGAATAATTTCTTGGTCCCCAGGGAGTGGGTATTAGTTGTAAGGAGGCCTAGATATTACTAGTGAAGCATGGAGCTAGAAGATTCAGTTGTGCCTCCTACAATATATCTAGAAAGGATGCCTTACAGAAGGATACAATAGAATACAAGGGTGTTTAAACCTTCCCTTTTTCCTGTGTTTCCTTTTTTAGAAAAGATAGTTCATAGATGGTTGAAAAATAATACCTGTCAAGAAGAAGAGTAGTTTCAGGATGAGGAATTGTAGAAAAGTGTGATTGAGTGGGATGTATTAAATGATCCCCTCCTACCTGCTGATTCTTCGCAGAGGAAGTTTTAACTATTGTTGAGATAAAAAGTATATGTCTTCAGATGTAAAATGTACTTCAGCCCTTAAACTCTGAATATCATACATTCAGAGGATTATTTAACTGTCCTCCCAAAACTTAAGTGGAGGGGGAGATAATGATTGCTCTATGGACTAAAATATTGTCCTTTTGCCAAAAACCTAAATCGAGTTATCACATGCCCTGACTCGATTTTATGGCTATTTTTAAGCAATTTACCAGAATTATTAAGCAACTAATTAAGTGAATCATATGGTTTAAGTCTGAATCCAGCTTATCAAATAGGTGTTTTCTGCTGGAAAATGGCAAAAGCATTGCAAAACATGATCCCATAAGCATTGGGATATTCTGGGTATAAATACAAGCCAGTTGCCAAGTGACCAAAATGCAATCATGTGACTGGGGGCATGGTGCAGCAGTCATACAAGGACGGTTCATTAGTAACTTTTTTTTTTTAGACTGACCTAACTTTGAACAGTCCAGAAATCTTACTAGTTTGGGAAATTAGGTTGAGGTTCACAATTGTTGCTGAGTATTTTTAAACAGTAATGATGGTATTGAATTGACCTCCCTATGTTGTGAATTTTTTAAAGAAATGCTTTGTTAAAATATTATTAAAATTAGTAATGGAAGAAATTTGACTTCCAAATCATACCAAGGTGTGGAATTAGGAAGGTGTGGAATTAGGAAGAATCGAAGATTGCAGGTGTGTCATATATTTAGGCAAAGAAAGTGTATGTGTTGTTCATTTTTTTAAAAATTCTCCTCTCTGATGCTATATACAAAAAGGAGGATATAAAAACTATTGAAATACATTTTAAAATCTTGGCAAAATCATCAAGTGTGTTTACATTTCCCTAAGGAAGAAAAATGGCCCCTGCCCTTTTTGCGTTCTGACACCATTCATCATTAGCTTTAACCCCATCAGTATTTGGAAGCAGCTATAGATTTCAGGGAATAAAAAGATTTCTCACTCATTGCAGTTGCTTTCATTCTTATGGAGACACCAAGATTTAATTTCTATGCTGCTTTATGATCCTTAAAACAAAATTAATTCTATATACACTTGCTGTCTAGAGGGATGGAAGATATAGTGGACTATCTATCTTCTATATTATTTAATTCACTCTTCTTAATATTATCAAAACAATAGACCAGGGTACTTACGAGACCACCTTCTGCCACCAGTAGCCTCTCACCGACCAATACGCTCCCATAGAGAGGGGCTCCTCAGGGTGCCGTCGGCCAAACAGTGTCTACTGGTGGCCCCCAGGGGGAGAGCCTTCTCTGTGGGGGCACCTGCAATCTGGAATGAGCTCCCCCCGGAGATACAGAGGATCCCAGATTTACGCACTTTCCGCCATGCCCTCAAAACATTTTTATTCCAGCAGGCTGGTCTCGCTTGACTCTCCCTTTTAATTTGCTTTTATGTTTTATACAAATTGGGTGTTTTTAAATTCGTTTTTTGGGCCAAAATTATTTAATGTACTTTTAAATGGTTTTTAACTTTTGTATGATGTATTTTTATCTTGAGTCCTTCGGGAGTAGGGCGGTATATAAATAAAATAAAATAAATAAATAAAATAAATAAATATACTACTAAAACTCTTGTGTCTATAACCTTTAACTGAATGAAATGGTGCATCATCGGGCCACCATTTTTGAATGAAGGTACCTCCAATGGGCTAACACAGTATGCATTTAAAATCCAGCACCTATAACTCCCATGAAGTTGAAATTTGGCCAAATTTGTAGGTGCTTCAGTGCTACCGCACTGCCATCCAGAGGTTTAGTAAATTGGTCTTATCCTAGCCCTCTGGAGGCCAAGTAAACCAGTTTCATCATTGGCTATTGGAGGTTAAGCTAGTAGGAAATCAGATGTCGCTCCTGCTCTCGTGGCTATTTTGACCATGGTAATTCTGCTTCTCAGTTTAGGAAAGGAAATATCCCTGAAATGATGATCTAACAGTTTACAGGTTATCTAGCAGCTTCTCATATTTTTTATTAATAGACTAACTGCAGAGATGAGTTTACAAATATGGTACCTAAAAATGTCTTAACTAGATTGTGGTTTAGCATGTTATATGAATACTACCAATTAAATATGCATATGAAAAAATGTGCTACAAATCAGATTGGTCTATTTCTGTATAAGCTATACAGTATTAAAATATGGAACTGAACTAAATAGAGGCAGCAGAACTGGATACATATAAAATTGCTGGGGTTTGTATTTAAAACATGAACATTTATTTATTGATGTCTTTTATATTCTGTATCACTACACTCTGCAAGGATTCATGGTGGTGTACAATTACAACCTCAAAGAGTAAAGACAATAGAACAACAAAACAGTAAATCAGCATGATATGCCAAGAGCAAAACAAATAAAATCACAGGTACATCAACATTGCTGCAATTAATATAAATAGGCATTTCATGACCAGATGTTGATCTCTAAACACCATACAAAATATTCTGTTTTCACAGCTTTTCTGAAATTCAGGAGCAAAGGCAGGCAAGAAGCTGTTCCAAAACATGGGCGCTACCACTTAAAAATCTTCATATCTATCTATCTATCTATCTATCTATCTATCTATCTATCTATCTATCTATCTATCTATCTATTTGACTATTCACATAGTCCCCATAATGTGCACCTACATTGATTTTTCTTGAAACAGATAGTCCTGCAAGTACCTAGGTTCTAACCAGGTATAGCTTTCTAGGCCAAAACCAGTACTTTGAATTGTACTTGAAACTGATGCAGCCAATGCAGTGCTGACACCACATATATTATATGTCTGCATGTGAATTGCTGCGTTTTTTAAAATATTATTTACTTTATAGGTCTTTCTAGCCCACCCAATTCCAAAGAATTTTAGCAGATTATAACATATCAAAATATAAAAGCAATATTGGTAATAAACTAAACTAAATCAAATTGTAAACCAATCATCCCTCAGGAGAGACAAAAACAAGCCTAACTGGAGTAATTTTCTTCTGTTCAATGGTGCCCAATTTGGGGGCAAGGTTTTTTAGAAGTGGTTTGTCATTACCTCCTTCCTAGGGCTGAGAGAAAGTGAGTGGCCCAAGGTCATCCAACTGGTTTTGTGCCCAAGGTAAGATTAGAACTCACTCTCTGGCTTGATGCCTTTGCCACTACGTCTAACTGGCTCTCAAGTAGAGTCAAAGGCCCAGTGAAATAAAATTGTCTTTGAAGATCTTTTAACTGCAGCTTGAAAATAGTGTCTTAAGGCTGCTGCCCCATATAGATCATGATGCAATCATCTAAAAGATAGGTGACAATGATGAAGTCACAACCCACAACAGAAAAATGATTGTTGAAACTGATGGAATTTGTAGCGATGGCTAAATTAACTTATTTGATTCAGAGGAAAAAAAAGCAATTCTACATTTATGGTTGACTGGAAACCCTTTATGGATTTTTTGCATTAAATGGAAAAAATGCACATGATTAGTAGTTTTAATGATTAGAAAAAAAGACCCTGAATGATAGAAAAAAGTGACCTTCTTTGCGATTATAGAGTAAGAAATAATTGTGTAATTGTATTTATATTTGCTGCAAAGAAAATCAGAGATTTTTTGTTTCTATTTCGTCTATTCTCTTTCTGCACTTATTTTTTCTTTACTTTTACTTTTTATTAGTGTATTTTACTCTTTATTATGTTATTTGTAAAACTTTTAATAAAAATATGTTAAAAACAAAGATAAGTCACAGAAACCAGAGTCTCTTTGTTTTAGAAAGGTCACAACTGGTGCTGCAGCCAAAACCAGTCCACTCCCCACACAGCTGATCAACAATTGCCAAGCATCTAGAATCTCTTTTGGGGAGTACTTCCCTGTTTAGAGACACTGCTGAATCAGCTAGAATGCCTTAAAGTTGCTGGACAAAGAGTAACTTAACCTTGTACTTTATTCTTTTTCTTACAGCTTTCAAACAAGGACATGTCATTGTTTCAGTTCTAGATGGTGGTATGCATCATCTACATATCAATGACACCTCACTCTAAATCAATGGATGACATCATTTTATGTGCATGGCGTATGGGGGGAATAAAAAGAAAAAAGCTATGGCATCTATGTTAGAAAGGCCAATAGACAAACATTCCTTCCTCCCCCTTCACTTTGGAACCACCACTCAGGAAGGAACCAAACCATTATAAAATAGGCTCTGATTTCCAACCCTCTGACTGCCAATCCTTGCAGGCATTGGGAAAGAGAGGAAAGAACAATACTATGATCCATTGTTATCAAATGTTGCTGAGAAATGTAAAAGGATGATGTCAGGCCCAGCTCATGATCAGCATAGCACAATCCAGCTAAAGTTCAGTTCTTTATTTGCCATATAGACAGAATCTCGCCATACTAAACCAATATTACCCTATTACCTATAACTCTAATGGATATATTCTAGGACGGGGGTATCAAACTTGATGTCATTGAGGGCCACATCAGGATCGTGATTGACCTGGGGGGGGATGAGTGGGTGTGGCCAGGGTGGGCATGGTCAGCTCGACATCACTCATGTTGGGGGCGCCTGTGGTGGCCCAAGCACTCTGCCAGCGAAAACAGGTTTGCAACAGTGGTGAAATCCAAGTTTTTTTACTACCGGTTCTGTGGGCATGGCTTGGTGGGCGTGGTGTGGCTTGGTGGGCATGGCAGGGGAAGGATACTGCAAAATCCCCATTCCCTCCCCACTCCTGGGAGAAGGATATTGCAAAATCTCCATTCCCACCCCACTCTGGGGCCAGCCAGGTGTGGTATTTGCCGATTCTCCAAACTACTCAAAATTTCCACTACCGGTTCTCCAGAACCTGCTGGATTTCACCCCTGGTTTGCAAGCTGTTTTCGACTGCGATGGCCTCCTGTAACCATCTGCCAGTGAAAATGGAGCTTGGGAGGCTCGCCTGAGGGCCAGTCCTTTGCTGTTTCCAGGGTGGCCATGAGCCACATCTAAGCACCCTGAGGGCCGGATCCAGTCCCCAGGCCTTGAGTTTGATATTCCTGTTCTAGGAGATTCTAGGGAGTGGCTATCCGAAATCTCTTCATTTTTCCCTGATCCAGCTCTGGGTTGTCTGTCTCTTGTCTCACTTCCCACCTTGGAATGTGCTCCCTCCTTCCCAAGAAACTGCAGCTTCACCGTAGTTCATCACACCACCTCCCCCTTCACAGACACAATTCATCACAAATTGGCAGGGATACATCTCCAAATACTAATGCAATGTAAACAATGCCCATTCAATCCAATACATAAGCCTGAAATATTCCCTTCCCCCCAGCCTCTCCATAAATTTCACCTAAGAGATTCAAACCTGGATAAGAGTAATGGTCAGATCCAAGTAACATATTTTCAGGATAGCGCATACTATTATCTTGTTCAAGGTAGGCCTTGCCTTTTCCCTTAACGAGATACATACGCACACACGCCCCTGAAATCCAGCTGATTACTCGCCCACTTGCTTCCTAAAGAGCCTGGTCAGCCACTCCAGTTTCCATGTAATAAGAGTCATACTTACAAGGCACCTATCCTCAGATTCATGAAATAGTATCACTCACTGCAGTTCTCTACCTTTGTTATCAATATAGATTTGACACATTCAGAATTAAGATCTGAGTGGATTTAACTAATTTCACAAGCAAAATGTTGCCTGAAAATCTTGCAGAATCCTGTTTGCAGATTTTGCTTTAATGATACTGACATAAAACCACAAGATTTATTATCTTATGATCCTACTGACTAGTGATGACAAAAAAAAGAGGGAGGAAGGAAGGCCAGTACACTTCTTCCCTGTAGCCATGTTGTACAGGAACAAAACCAGAACAGTTTTATTTAAATTTCACCCAGTATAATAATACATTTTTGTTCTCAGAATTTGCTTGCCATCTAGTGTGTTAACAAATATTTGAAGAACAGTTGTAAATATCTTTTCAAAGGATATTCAGAAAAGATAAGGAAGAAAATGTATTTTTAATTTCAATTGATTTATTTACTTTAATCAATTTGTATGGCTGCCCATTTTACAATAGTGATTCTGGAGGCTGGCATAATGTTAAATGCACTGACACAATAAATAGTAATGTATACAGTATAATGGCAACTGAGGACAGCATAAATCATTAGCAAGTGACTCGCTAATCTCACAAAGCCAATTAAACTCCCAATCCCCATGCCCAGGAAAACAGCCATGTTTTTAAGCTTTCTGAAATGCCAGCAGAGTTGGAACCAAATGACTCTTGGGTGGGGTTGTGATGTTCTTGAGGACAGGCACTCTGACAGAAAAGGCCACTCTCTAGGTCCTGCTAGATGAAACTCTTTGATACACGGGACCTGATGCATGCCTCCTATCAGATTTAATGGGACAGGTAGAATCAATTGGAGAGAAGTGGTCCCTCAAATAACCCGGCCCCATGCCACATACAGCTTTATAGATGACAACCAGCACCTTGAATCACTCCTGGAAGCATACAGAGAATCAGTGCAGTTTGCAGAGCAGAGGTGGGCACAGAGATGGGCACACGTTACTACATTCTGGATGGTCTATGTAAAGCATGTTGCAGAAATCCACTTGAGAGCTGATCAAGTATGAATAACGGTGAGTAGTGCCTTCTGATCCAGAAAAGGGCACAATTGACATATCTGTTGTGTAAAAGCTCTTCAGCTATAATGGCACTTGTTCTTCAAACAAGAGCAGAGAGTCAAGGATAACCTCCAAACTGCACATTTTATTTTATTTAAACGAACATATCCACTGGCCTCACACAGTAATCCTAGGCAGCTCACAGCAACCAATAAAAACAGCAATGTGCTGTACAGTACTCTGGTTTCTCCTCAAATCATATACATCTCTTGCCTTAAAAACCATCATACCCTTCCCGCTAAGGTGCCAGAACTCTTTTCAATGCTAGCTAAATGCTTGGGGGAAGAGCCAGGTCTTCTTGGCCTTCTGGAAGGCTAAAAGGGTAGAGGCCCTCTGAGTCTCAGGCTGGAGGTTATTTCAAAAGCCTGGATGGCTACAGAAAATCTGCCCTTCTGATGTTCCACTAGATGACAAAATTTTACAGGTGTGTCCTCCCTTTCTAACCTAGTGAGATGGGCAGATACCCCCAAAGATAGGCAGTCCAACAGATAACTGGCCATGTACCATGAAGGGCTTTAAAGGTGATCATCAATACCTTGAATTGGACCCGGAAAGCAACTGGCAGCCAGGACAGCTTGCACAGCAATGATGCAACATAGACAAATTGCAGAGTATCAGGAATGTGCCACTATGTTCTAAAGAAGTTACAGCTTCTAGATCAGGGCTGTCAAATTTGCAGCCCGTGAGCCGGATGTGTCACACGCTGGCCATGCCCCCACCCAGTTTAGCAAAGGGGAAGAGTCCCAATACATCACCTGATGTCGTTTTGATGACATGAGCTTGACACCCCCGTTCTAGATAGTTGTATTTGTAGTCATGCTTGCAGGATTCTGTCACAATAGCCTGTATCAATATAGTTCTAGTATGGAGTCTGTTTCCTAATTTCAAAGGTCTGACATCAGTCTTGCAAGCCTGAATGCATTTTCCCTTATATCCCAGGGAGTCAAGGAGTCAGTCTGTGTCTTTTCCGAATATATTCCGTTTCTCAGGCTCAACTGATGTTTTTGAACATGTTGTAACAAGCTCCATGTGGTTTCTCCAAAGTTATCTCTGTGGCTGTATATAATATCTGAATAGCACTAATCTGAAATTTTATTGATTTGTTTTGCTAACATATAACAGATAGTCTCATCATGTCAGGCAGTCATGCTTAGCCAACTACTGGTATCAGAAAAACTCAAGAGCCAGACCAGTTCATACTTGGATAGACTACAGAGAAATCACAGGCTAGGCGAGGAACTGGAAAACACCCCATTAAAAAAAAAGCAATGCAAACGATTTCCCTACTGTTGCCATGAAAATAATATGGAGTTGACCAGATGCCAAGCTCAACCTGAGGAAGAATTTATCCTGACAAAAGCCCCAGTTCTATCCAAGGGCTAACATAATTAAAGCTGACGGTTCTTGATTTTATTTCATCCCAGTGTGTTGCAGTAGGTTGGAGTCTGGAGATGCTGGGTGCAGAGATCCATTATTTGGGAAATTAAGCAGACAGTAAGAGTTCTCTCTAAAAAAGGTGAAGGAGTCCCTTGAATATGGTCTAATGCAAATATATTTCTGTTTCAGTTGCTATTTATTCATACAGGCTTATTTAATTATTTGATTTTTTTCCCCGCCTTTATTATAAGTAATTCAAGGCGACAAACATGCTTAATACTGCTTCCTCTTTTCCTCACAAGTGGGTCGGGGCTGAGAGAGAGCGCACGACTGGCCCACAATCTCCCAGTAAGCTTTCACGCCTAAAGTGGGAGTAGACTTCAGTTTCCCGGTTGTCTAAGCTCAGCCACGCCAAACGAAAACAACCGAGCTTATTCGAACGGCTTCGAAAAAGCTCGCCATTCCTCGAGTCCTTGATGTCACTGGGACCTGACGTCACTGGCGTTTCCGTGGTAACGCGCAATGAAGTCACAGAAGGATGGGCGGGGGAGAGCGAGCTCGCGCGCTCGGAGGTGCCGAGACCTTGCAAGTTCTGGGTCGCAGTTTCTATGGAAACCAACGCCCGTGCTAAAAAAAAGGGACTAGCCAGCGGGAGGCCTCGCTCGCACTCTGTGAAAGAAGTGGGGGGGGGAGAGAGCCCCAAGCCCCGAGTGTTGGGGACCCGGAGGCTGCACTTGCTTCCCCAGCCAGCTCCTTACTTGCCCGATGCCGGCACAGCCGCCTTCCCACTGAACTGCAGCCCCCTCCCCCTTACGCTTTCCTTCCTCCGATTCTCTGCTCTCTCAAAGGGCGAAAAATACAATGGGAGCCGACCGTTCGACCTCTAAGCATCAGGAGAGGGCCTCTCACTGAATACACAGGAGACCGGCCGTCTCCGTATCCTGCAAACCCCACGAGGTCCACCTCCGGCTGGAGGCTTTGCCTGGCTTGCTGCCTCCGCCTGCCCGTCTCTCTCTCCGCGCGCCCACTTCGACGCTCCTTCACACGAGCAGCCCTTGCCCGCTCCCCTCCCAATCGCACTCCCGCCTCCTCCTTCCCTCCCCCGCAAGGACTGCGGCTGAACGCGCTTCTCCGCCGCGGTGACGCGAGAGGCAGCGGGCTGGTTCGGTCTGTCGATCCATCCGTCCCCAGTCAGTGGGACTCCCCCGATCGCGCTGCTTCTCGAGACCATGCTCCCGCCAGCGCAGCAACCGAGCCCTGACAGCGCCCGGGCAGCCCCGGACAGAGAAAGGGCGGGTTCGAGGAGGGCTCAGTGAGGCCGGCGGTCTCTTTCCCTTCTCAACTCTCTCTCTCTCTTCCCCCCCCCCTCCCCCCCCCCTCCCTTCCCTTCCCCGCCCCCCCCGACGTCTTCCCCCGACGTAGCATACCATTGCTTCCATCGCCGGCATCCCTACATCGAGCCACAGGTCTGGGCCCGGGAGGAGGCGCGTGTGTGTGCGTGTGCAGGCAGTATCGGTGTGCACGCGTAGCCGTGGGGCTGGGAGGCTGGGGAAAGGCACGCGCTGTGCATTGGGTGGAAGGGACGGGACAGGAGCCCGGTATCAGCAGGGGCGGTTTTGGGGCACGGTTGGGCTGTAAGGAAGGGTGGGGGGAGCAGAGTAACGCTGCATGGGCTTTGGAGGGGAGTATGGGGAAGAGAGGTGAAGGGACGTCGCTCCAAAGACAACGGGGCTGCCTCTTTGGGCCCCCGGAAAGAAACCAAGCAGCCCAGCACGTTTTCCCCTCCTCACCGACTTCTCATGTGGGTTGAAGCGGGACCCCCGTGCCAACCCGCCCTCCTTCATCTTAGGTCGCCATTCTCCAAAAGCAACAGTCTTTTTCACCTGAGCAGAGGCGCCGAGAGCGATGACAGCGGCTCGTGTCCCTTCTGCTCTCCGATTATTCCAACCGAGCAATGCTTTTCTGACTTTCTGACAGTGAGCTATGGGTTGGATTCTGTTAGCGTAAACGGTAGTTTTTTTTTTTTTTTTTTAAATAGTAATTTACTGCTGTATTGAATATCTGGGTCGGAACGAAGGTGGGTTTGAACCAACCATCGTTCAGCCATCAGGTTGCCATGTTTTATTTATACAAGGGCGCCTGTGCCCGTTAATGGCTGCAAGGCAAGCATATCTTTTAGTCACTTGAGTAGTGTCCAAAACGTGGAAGTCAAGTGTAAACTGCACCTGCTGGCTTACTTTTGTTTTTGTGAGAAAGACAAAGTGGTAATTTCTTCTAATGGGGCAGACCTATTGAAACTGAACTTAGATGAATTAGGCAAAGTTAGGGGTTTTTTTTGAGGCAAGCATGTTTTGGAGGGGGAGAGGTGCTTCCTTTATTATTTTTAAAAAGTTAGTTATAGATTATGAGGATAAATACACCAAGAAACAAACAAAAATACATAGCCCAAGGCTTCCATGAAATTGCTGAAGATCATATAAACAACTGTGTGTGTGTGTGCGTGTGTACTTACTCAGTGTGCCTATTTCGTTCTCTTCTAAGTATGCTTAGCTTTGTATCCAAATCCTACATGTATGTCCTGAATAAGTTTTTAGGATGGAAGCTTACATGTATTTCCCTCTAAAGAGCTTTGCTTAATTGGTTATGGCAATTAGCAAGCTTCCCATCAACTATGTGCTTGTAAGAATTTGGGTAATTGATTTGAAAAAGATTACTTACTAGACATAACACAGTGCATGTTAAATGTATAGCAGGCTGAGTGAATTGTGGCCAGAACACGGGAATGTTTTAGACACTATTTTAGATGCTATTTCTGTAGAACATGACTTTATAAGGAGTTAGATTTTGAAGCAGTTTTTCTAATATGTTGTAGGAAATATTGAATTTCATCTACTTGTGCTGAAGTTCACCTTATCTTACAAATGTACTATAGACAATAACTATTGCTTAATTTCTTTAACATATGTTTCCTATATATTTATCTATATACATGGAATGGAAAACATAGCATATTAATCTATGTTACTTATTCTGTAAAGTCTCAACAGGTTTTGGCTTTTTTTTTCACATTCAGAATTTTGAAAGGTTTAATGTATTTGTACTTGGAAAGAAGTTTTTTCATAAACACTGATACTAGAATATAGAGCATAGGGTACACTGACATTTTCTAGTTAGTGAGCAGAACATACAACTTAATTGTTTACATTCTTCAGATGTATTTTCATAAAAACTCTGTAAACCCCTCTGTTGTATTGCTTTCAATTATGGCCACATCTAGTACAGTACTTTATTTTTCAGATGGGATACAGAGTTCACAAGAATTTATGATATAGCTTTCAATGGGTAAATTGTAAATTTAGTGGCTGTTCTTTGCCTTCTTATTCCCTTATGGGGATAATAAGGCTGTTTGACTTTTCAGGATATTGCAGGATATAATAATGTATGTGAAGTTATATGAGGTATGTTACAGGAACAGTAGATTCTACTGTAGAAGGGCCAAGAGCCAGAGCAGTTTGATAGGCTCATAAGGCAAAAGATATTCATGAAAACAGCTCTCTAGGAGGGCTGCAGACTTTTTTTCTTGAAAGTACTCCAGTGCTTTGAATAGATGCAGGATAGACAGAGATTTAGTAGCTTCTCCCTGCACAACACTGCTGAGCAAAGTTATGCATGATTTAAATTCTGCATGGCATGCTGGTATAAGAGGAGAGAAGGGGCGGTAGTGACGCCCCTTAAATCCCCAGAAACCTTGATTGCAAAGTGTTGCATAAACAGAATCATGGAAGTACAGAATTAGAAGGAGCCTCAGCATTGATACCACAACCGTATGGATACTTATCTAGAAACCTTGATTCTAATAAATTTGGCTAAGACTAAAGCCTTATTTTAGCAAGTTACTTACATAGCTTTAGCAGCTCCATGTTCTAGTCTAGCTGGATTGACACAACAAGCCTGTGAATCATAAAACAAATCCAGATATCTTATTTAGCCAAGCTTCACTTAGCCATTGTTTGGTGCACAAGCCGTTATTAGCTAGCTTCACACAATATAATAAGCTACATAACTGGCTTTTAATTTAATTTAATTTAATTCAATTTATATGCTGCCCCTCTCCGAAGACTCAGGGCGGCTTTTGAAACTATGTTAAGCCAAAACCAAAGAAATTACATACTTCAGCATTTCTCTAAATGAACTCTTAAAGGAGGTTGTGAGATAGGAGGAAGAGGATCACTACAGAGTGCTTTTTTGTGCTATTTTTGCACAAAAATTACAGTTTGATGCAAAATTATTCTGAATACAAAGTAACCCTGCCGCTCTAGAGCCCTGTGTGAAGTCTGAATGTTTGCTTTTAACATATTGAATTTGCCTTTTAGAGGAGGAGTTAATCATGCCTGGAAGGCATGAAGCTTCTGTGCAAAATTGACCATCTGATCAGATACTCACTCTGCATAGGAAATTATCACTTCTGAGGGGAAGGGTTGTAAGACTGCAGCTAGAAGGAAATTGCAACAGTAGGGGAAGGATTTACAAGCACCAGGCTTGGGAGGGGGGGGAGAACGTGTGAGACTGTTACCTCAGAGTGACTGTATTAATTCAAAGAGCATCAAAAGCAGATTATAGTCTGGTCATGTTCTGCAAGCTATAGCATTTTAAGAACAGTTTAATAGAAGTCGATTTTGGGCAAGGTGGTATCCCCCCCACTCCCCAATTTGGTAAATGAGAGAGTGGTTTTCAAAATGGAATTCCAATTTCAAATGTTTAGGCCAAAAAAAGCAATTTATTCTTCATGTTAAAATGGTTTTAAATTGTATCTTTGTTTTTTCCCAAAGTAACTGTTGTTTTAAAAAGTTAAGTTCTGCCACTGTTTTATTTGCCATATAGGTTAAAATGTAATTGTTATATATTGTTATAAGTTTAGGTTTGTTTCTTGCCTCACCTAGTCCCAGTGAAAACATTTATTTACACATGAGAAATGGCACAATTTATTTTTCTCAGATCATAATATGGCAAAGTTTAGGAACCATTGACATGGTCCAGGAAGATATAAAAGAGCGTTAGATGCTATTATTTTACTCCCTTCCACATGTCCCTTTTGCTATGTTGAAACTCCCTAGCCTCTCATTTGCTTAAGAGTTGCTATGGAAACTTACCCAGTGGGTTGGATTTTGAAATAAGGTCAGATGGGGATTTCTTTCCAGCTTCTCATCTGAGGAAGTAAGAATGTGGTTTAAGCTACTACTTTTGACCAGCAACTCCTTTCCATAATTACATAATGCTTCATTTTGACATATGATGGTTTTCTGATAATGAGAAAAATAAATACATGCCAATCTGGTTGATACAAAAAAATATCTTTATGATAGAGATGAGCATTTGGGAGATATCTTGTAATTGGTTAAGCTGTGTTGCCCAAAACAATTTTCTTAGACTTTTTAAATGTTTTCTGTGATCCCATTTTGATATTATGTTTTTAAGTGTCCCACAGCCACAAATAGGCACCTGTGTTGGCTGCATACTTTTATCTGCCCTCTACTGTGTCTCAACTCACAGGATCTGACAGTCAAGATGCTGATAAAAGAATATCATATACTGTTGCCCATGAGCCTGACCGAATACCAGGTGGCCCAACTTTACATGATTCAGGTAATATCAGTTTGATAGATAGAGCAGGCTGATGCGTATTTATTTAACCAGATAGAGTTTTGGGGTTAACAGGACCAAAACCAAGCAGGTTGAGGGATGCAAGGAACAAAAGATATAGATTGTAAGCTGAAGATCTCTCTCTCTCTCTCTCCCCCCCCTTAGAAAAAAAGCCGTGAGGAATCCAGTGGCGAAGGCAGTGGGGTTGAAATCCTGTCCAACCGACCATATGATGATGGTCCAGGAGGAAGTGGTCAATATACACATAAGATCTACCATGTGGGCTCTCATATTCCTAGTTGGTTCCGTGCTCTCCTACCTAAGGCTGCTTTGCAGGTGGAGGAAGAATCTTGGAATGCCTACCCTTACACACGGACCAGGTGAGAGGAAGACAGTAGGGGGCTGGAAGATGTGGTTGGAGTTTGCCAAGGTGGTAAAGGTAGAACTGTGAGTTTCATACTCTTCTTCATAGATACACATGCCCCTTTGTGGAAAAATTTTCAATAGAGATTGAGACTTACTACCGACCAGATGCTGGAAAGCAAACCAATGTGTTCAATCTAAATACCACAGAGCGCAGGCAAAGGATTGTGGGTGAGTTTTCAAACACTGGGCCATTCCTCTTACTTTTAAGTTTATTAGGCTGTAATATCGCATGAATGCTTCTATGCTGAGCAACTGATTGTGTAGGAGCGGCTGAACGATGATGGTTATCTGATGGTATTTAGGGTCAGTAAGTGACTGAGGTATAAGTTAGTGGGCATCTGTTTCACTCATAGCATATAAAGTGCTGTGCTGTAAAGCAGCCTTCACCAGCCTTGTGAATGCTTCACTCCATGTAGATGTTAGGAATTTCACATTTTGAATTTCCAACCATCATTCCATTGTTGAAATCCAATGCAGCTGGAGGACAATAGATTGGGGGCTGCTGCTGTTATACACCAGGAGCGGAAGAACAGCCAGTAGGCTCCTGGCAAAACATGTGCACCATGCAAGAGCAGTAGTCAGGAATGTAGCTGAGCATCTGAAGCAATTTTGAGATGAACAGCAATTTGAGAAACCCAAGGACAATTATCTTAATTTCCTACAATGAATCACTTTTTACAAAACCTCCTCTACTTACCCACAGATACTATTGATATTGTACGGGATCCCATCTCACCCAGTGAATACAAGATAGAGGAAGATCCACGACTGTACCATTCGATGAAGACGGGACGCGGACCTCTAGGAGATGATTGGCTAGACAGTGAAAATACTGGGCCTTTTATGTGTGCTTACAAGCTTTGTAAGGTGGAGTTTCGCTATTGGGGCATGCAGTCCAAGATTGAACAATTCATCCATGATGTAGGTAAGCATGATATCTTCTTTATTGCTATTCTTTTTCATCTTCCTTCAGCAAACAAAGATCTGTGGCAGTAGTGGATAGTTTGGTTTTTCATGATGTTGAACTGTGGCTCACAGCAGCTCCATCCAACATTGCCAATGGTAATAGTTTAGCAACTTCCTGGGGGGGCACAGGGTCACCTAATTCTGGCCTACTGAAGCTAGCTGATTTGGGCCCTAGGCAATGGAATAGGATGATTGATCCTGTACTCGTGCTGGCAAAGGCACATTGTCTATTTCTTCTCCGTGGCAGTACTTATGAAGTACCTTTTCTATTGAACTGCCCTTCTCATATGAATTTTATTAAAGCTACTCTAATGCAAAATCAGATTTAATACTGGCCCAATGATACAGTTCTAAGCCTCCCTCGTGGTCCCTATATTAAAAAGACAGTCTAAGGCAGGGGCGTCAAACTAAATTTCATTGAGGGCCACATCAGTGTTATGTTTGACCTTAGGGGAGGCAGGGGGGAGGCATGGCTGGAGTGGGTGTGGCCAGCTCAACAGCACTAGTCAAGGCTCCATTTTCGGCTGTAACAGCCTCCTACAATCCTCTGTTAGCGAAAAAGGAGCTCCCCGAGTTCCTTTTTCACTGGCAGAGGCATCACAGGCCGGTTCTTTGCTGTTTCCATGACAGCCCTGCAGGCCAGATCTAAGCACCCCATGCGCCGGATCTGGCCCGCGGGCCTTGAGTTAGACATTCCTGGTCTAAGGCCTAGGTTGCACAATGTTCAGAACCATTCTTTCTGAGCTGAAAATAAATGATTGGGTCCTCTGCCATTTTGAAAACCAATATTGTTCACATTTCTCTGCTAATTACAAGGCATTTATTCAGGATCTACAATCTTCCAGCATATGGCAACTCTAAATATTATCTCTGAAATTGGTGAGAAATTAGACTTTCTTCCTCTGTATTGCTGATTAATTACTGCTCTAGTCCAATTCTACCCTTTGGGGTAAAAATGCACACAAAAGGTTTTGATGTATTGGTTGGTTGCTTGGGAGATACTCTTCCTACTGTGACCTCAGAAGTATTAATGGTGGTAACTATGTAAGAGAAAGGCTTCAAACAGTCATAAGGGCTGAATCCAGTAAATTAGAGAAAGAGAGAAGCCACTGTGTTGACAACACAGTTGAAGGAGCAGCCAGATTTCAAAAGACTTCAGAAACATAAATGATATAAAATAATGGTTGCCTATTAAGCCTAATATTAGATTGGGGAGATTTGTTTAGAATTAGGAGATACTTACCAGTAGAGGCTTAACGACATTTATGATTATGCATGTAAATCAGCTTCTGACATGAACAGAATTGTCATCCAACTTTGTGCAGCACTTCTCAGACAAAAAAAATGAGATATGCTATGCTGTCTGCTCATCTAATCTGTGTCCCTGGATGCAGTTGGTGACATGTGGCAGATTATGAGGATGACAAGATCCCAATATAAATTGGATACAGTATTTTTTGTTTGGATGTGAGCATGATTTCTGGATTTCTGAAAAAGTTTAGATTGAAAAAAATGTGAGATCCCTTCTTCAATTTAAACATATGTGCCAGAAATTGTCATATGTTAAAGATAAAGTTTTGTGATATGAAATTAGACAAACAGGCTAAACCACAACTGTCTAATGATATGCTGGATGTAGTGAAGTGGTAGTAATGGGGTGGTACGGCATGTTTTGATTTCAGGTGTGTCTGTATAAATTTACTTCACTTTTTCCACAACATCATTATGTGAATAATGTAGGTTGATTTAGAGACCCGGTTTCAATTTAACTCAAGGGATTATCTCCATTCCTGACTACTAGTTTGACATTGTCTTCTGATTTTAGCAGAGGAATTACATCTAGCAGAGCCCCACATCCCAATAAGATTAGTTCCACCCCTCTCAACATTCCATAAATCCCTCAAGATATGTCATCAGTCCTGGGGGGTCCTAGGGAACCAGGGAGATTTTGCAATGGCTCCCTTGCTATGGTTTAATATCACCCCCTTTGTTTTGTTTGCCTTTTGAATAGTTATTTTTAAGTGTGACTTTTTTTATGTATGTATTGTTAAGTGCTATATGTCTTCCAAAGCCACTTTTATGTAAGATTTGAGGGGGGGGTATGTAAATATGGTAAATAAATAAATAAAAATGCTCATGTATTGGTTACAGGTAAATAAAATGCCAAAACGGATCTTGCATCTTCACATGAAAAAGGAAAAAGAATTGCAATCCTATTAGCTCCTCTTATTCTCTGAATTGAATTTCTCTTTTAAAGCTGAACTGGATTGTAATCCTTTAAGTTACTAAAAAGCATTGGAAGAAGCATTCACAAAGTAAATAACGTTTAATCTCTTTTAACGTATTGAGGAGCTGAAGTTATACCTAACCAAAGTGCGGTGTGTCTGGGAAGAGCTATGCCATCATGATTCCTGAATGCCTTCCTATTGTAGGTCTACGGAAAGTAATGCTACGAGCTCATCGCCAGGCCTGGTGTTGGCAGGACGAATGGATAGATCTCACAATGGATGACATTCGAAGGTTGGAGGAGGAAACAGCTCGTATGCTGGCTCAGAAGATGGCTACATGCGTGGAACCTGAATTAGGTCCTGGTGTGCCCAACCCTGAGTGTCCAGCTGAGTTAGGTGACCATGAGACACAGGACAGAGTTGACAGCCTGAGGGCTCCCGATTCCTCTCCAGATGACCCGTTTGCAAAGCAGTGGTCAACTTCTTCTCGGTCCTCGTACTCTTCTCAACATGCTGGTGAGTGACCACTGCAAAAAATAGAAAGGAACTTTTATAAGAATAGAACATGATATGATATTGAAAATACACTCTCGCTGCAGAGGAACAATAATTGTGAGAAAGGATGAAATTCACTAATATTTCATTCTAGATTATAATCGGGGACTAGCTACTCCTGTATTGGTGGTAATGTTGGCTTAGTTTTTTCACAAGGGATTTTTGTCTCTTCCCTTACTGGTTCTTGACTCATTTGAAATACTTTATTTTTTTTTGCATTGTGCAAAAGCATAGCATTATGAATATTGATACACATTTTAAAGAAAAATTATTTAGGGTGTGTATTACAGTATCCGTGATAGCAACCATTGTTTTTGTTTTCCTTTGTAATTTTCTTCTTGTGTTTGGAACTTAAAGAAGGAGAATAACTCATGAAAAGGTGGAAATAGATATTGATATACAGGAAAGAACGTTCTGTTGCAAAATAGTTTTTGTGACATTGATTCTATTAATAATTGTAATCTGACCTATTTCCTTTTCCTATTCTTTTCTTGTCTGTAAAAATTAAGGACTTCCTGCAATTTTCTGCAAATTCAGAAAATTAAGACAGTAAAGCAAACTTCATAGTAAGATACTATTGATTCCAGTGATCATAGCTCCTGTAATGAAGAAGTGTTCCTGTTGATGCTAAGAATGACCGTCTTTACCCAGCTCTCTTGGTGGTCATGATTTCACTTGATATGTCTCTGCAGTTGCGGTATCTCCACACAGTTTATCAGAATGGCGGATGCAAAATATTGCACGGGACTCTGAGAACAGTTCCGAAGAGGAATTCTTTGATGCTCATGGTTCGTAATACTGAATAGAGTAACTTGATTCTACATTGTATTTTGTTTCTGAGAAGACTTGAGTTCAGACTCATTTGTAGATGGCAGGTAGCTGCTTTTGGTTGCAAGACTTGGGATTCCAGTTATGTGGAGGCAGATCTGTAAGAACTAATTATTTACGTATGTATTGAGAGTTGGATTTGTATGGATTTATATGGTGAGGGAATGGTCAGAATCTCTTATCCTTACTCTTTGAAAAGAGATAATATGTCTATATAAGAAAAACGGTTCTTAGCTTATTTGTTAAAGGCACATGGAGTTTTTTGTGTATATGGTGATCAAGTGTATTAGGAAATATAGGAAGCTACCTTCCATCAAACCAACACTTGTCCAATCCATTATTATCAACAGGTAGGTCAATAACTTTTAATAATTTTAGATAGAAAACTTTTTGACTCCTATTTTGTGAATCCCAAAGGTTAATTCCAGGGGATTTAAAATTTCTACTTACATATCGTGGATTCCAGTAGAGGAGAGAATATGTATAGGTACACGTATAAACTCATATATTGAACTGGGTTAGATACGTAGCTCACATATTGAACTGTGGAGTTCTTGGTGCTCTCTAAGCTTGTTTGTTTGCTTGCAGACATTTCATTACTCACCTAGATAATATTAACAGTGTATGTGCGGTTTGCTCTTTGTTTATATTCAGTAGCTTGCCTTGCCAATTTGGTTGTGTGCATGGTTTTTTTTCTTGGTAGTTCCTTGATTAGGGTATTGTTTTCTGCCTGTTTGCCTGGGTTAATCCTTATCTGGGTTTTGGTTGCTGGAGAGGAAGTATTCTAGTCTCTTTGTTTCCTTCTTAGCACTTTTATTGTCTCTTTTGAATGTAAATGTGGTTTATCGCTATATGTCTATTGATAGCTGAATTGTTTGAATATCAAGCTTCCAGGAATTTGCTAGCATTTGTGGTCTAATATGCTGAGTTTCCCAGTTGAAACTGGTTGATTCTTGGAGATTAAGGAATTTTCATCATGTCTTTGACTCCTAGTTGGTGTTCAAGGATTGCCTCTGCTAATCTTCTGCCTACATAATAGCTGTTACAGTCCTTGTACAACAATCCACAATAACCCAAGACCTCCATTACAAAGTAACAACTCAACCTCTCACAAGAGGAGCTATATAAAAATATTATTCAGATGAATGTAAATGCACTGCAGCAACACCAAAAAAAGACCACTTATACGACATCAGAGTAGTCCCACAACTTTATTTAAAGGTGCCTGACCACTCAACCCACTATAGCACAACCAGCAGAAGCTACAAAAATAGGGAGCATTAGCATACATCAAAACGATCTCAGAAATAACCACCTGACAATTTACTATAGCATATGGCCCAACTACAGGTAGCCCTTAGGTTGTGACAGTAAGTTTTACTAGAATTTCCATCACTAAGCGATATGGTCATAAAGCTCAGCAAAGCAAGCAAACTCAATGAGGAACCCAGCAGAAAGTTGTCAGGTGGCTTGCAAGCAGCCCAGCCAGTAGTAAGTGGCTGCTGCCAGGTGAGAAAGAGAGCAAGGAGATGCATGGATAGCCGAGGAGGCATGAGCACGGTGGGGTTTGGGGTAGCTGCAGCTGCTGTCAGGAAGGAGGTTGCCAGGATGGTTTGTCACAAGGCAGCGAAGCTTGGGGAGTATATGCAAGTAGCAGGGAGGCACAGCGCAAATGCTGTGGGGCCTGGGATGGCTGCTGCTGGATGAGAAGGGTGTCTGGGGAGGTGCCGCATGAGTGCAAGAAGACTTGGGGAGGGCACATGAATGGCCAGGGAGATGCACCATAAGCTTAGGGAGGGTGTGTAGGTAGCTGACGTGAGCACAGAAGGCTAAGGCAGGGTGTGCAGGTGGGGGAGGCTTACCCAAGCAACTTGCAACATTCCTTGCCATCTTCCCCATTGACTTTGTTTGTGGATATCCAGCAGGGAAGGTTGCAAATTGTAACCATGTGATTGTGGAACATTTCCAACTGTCATAAAAGTGAGCCAATTTCCAAGTACCCATATCACACGACTGTGGGGTTGCTTAAATGGCCAGAACTTTGAGTACCGGTTGTTATCACCTCTCATTCAGTGCCATTGTAACTTCCATTGCTAAACAAGTAGTTCTTTACTGAGGACTACCTGTGAGCCCTCCAAAACATCTTAAGCAAACAAAAATACCCAATAGCCCAAGAACTAAAAATGAGTCATCTACAAGATTCAATGCAAGCACTATAATTGCCACTGTGTAGGGCAGATTAATACCAGACAATCAGGCAGAAAACAATCAAGGAACTACCAAGGAGAATACCATACTCCACCAAAACTGGCAGGGCAAACTACTGTATACACATAGGGAGCAAGAGCTACATGTACTCTCACTGATGACATTACCTAGTTGGAATGGAATGCCTGCAAGCAAACAACCAAGCTCAGAGAGCACCAAGGACTCCACAGATGATAGATGCAAAGCTAGAAAAGAATTCTTCCTATGAATCTGGAGGACTGTTAGAGACATTCATCTAATGTGCCTTTCTCCCTTTAAAAATTATCCCTTCTTTCTTAACTCTGATTTTTAACCATGGTGGGCATTTCAGTATATTTGCAGTGACTAGACTGCATGTAACCCTTTTTCATTTTAGAGGATTTGTCTGACAGTGATGATGTGTTTGCAAAGGAAATCACTAAGTGGAATTCAAATGACTTCCTTGATACTCTGGAGCGACCCAATGAACGGGATGAGGTTCTAGGTAAGAGAAATCCATTTCCATGTTCTATGACTTCTGCCCTTTCCGACCTCTAGAGTCTGTTATTGGCCTTTTGCCTTTTGTCACGTTGCACTGAGTGCAATATAAATTTCCTTTGCAGTTGATGCGATTGGAGCAACCAAGTCAGATAGTGATGGTGCCCCCGTACCTGGCCCACCAGAGGTGAGGAAACCCATGCCTGCAACACAGCATTCCTATTTCACTGCCTTCAGTTACTGTGGCCCCAAGCCATCAGACAGGGCTTGTGATGATTACAGGATTACTGTTGTCCTATCCTTAGTCAATTTTTCATATCCTTGGCTGCAATACGTGGCAACATTTAAAACTCCCCCCCCCTTGGATGATATGCGCCACTTCCATCAGTAGATCTCATCCTCACAGTGCCTTGTGTGTCTTTCCATAGGTTGGCTCAGAAGGGCTCTCTGGGACCTGCCGTATTCATGCCCTTTTCCTGATCCTCCACAGTGGCAACATCCTAGACCAGGGTGTAGGAGAACCAGGCTCCAAACAGGCTGATGTACATACACTCACTGCTACCTTGGACTCAGTCACCCGACTGCACTTTCCTGAAGCATTGGGGCACATAGCATTACGCCTAGTGCCCTGTCCACCGATCTGTGCTGCTGCCTATGTCCTGGTCTCCAAGTAGGAAGCACGTTTTTTTGAGCTGCTAAAGACTTCATGCGATTAGTGCTATTTGGCTGTCTGCCTGAGAAAACAAGAATTGCAGGCACCAAGAGTATGAAGGGGCTTAATGAGGGCAGTGGTATCTGCTACATCAATAGTATTTTTTTTTTTTTGTTCTGGGATCTAGAAAAAATATGAGACCTGTTCTTTGCACTAGCTTGGGTATAGTAGAGCCAAGTAAAGTACTTGAAGTATTTGATGTACCACTCAGAATGAATACCCAAGAAGGTGAACTGTGCTTTGATGTTTGTTTCAACTCGTTTTTCCTAGACTCAGCCCCTACAGCCACGATGGCGACAGTCTGTCCAGTAGCCAAGATCACATCCCACTGGCTGCTTTGCCTCTGCTTGCAACCTCCTCGGGCAGTTATCAGAGTGCCGTGGCAACAGTCATTTCTCGCACCAACCAGGCTTATGCCAGTTTCATCCATTCCCCTGATGGCATGGGCTTCTGTGGCCAGGTTAGATTGCTGGCAATTTTTAGAGCTTGTATAGGAAGTTGGAGGCAGAAATCTAGAATAGAGTAAGAAAGATATTTAATTCCTATGTGCCCACATGACCAGTGGAACAGACATTTAGATATGCATCCTGTTCAGTTTTTTTTTTTGTTTTGAAATAGAGCTGTGATGTTTATTGGAAAAGTAATTCAGAAAACACTGAGATAATACATTACAAAGATCCATTCTTTTTGCAACATTAACATTTGCAAGATGATTGAGACCACCATAACAATCATAGCAATTGAGGTCTTCAAATCCCTTATGATTTCAAGGTTATGTATAGGAGCCTATTCCCATCTGACCATGCAATGGTTGTGCACTATGCAGAATTAGAAAATTTATTTTCTGATTTTAGAAATTAGAAAATTTCTAATTTAGTAAGTAGTAACTTAGTAATTTTCTAATACCACGGGTGGTAGGGACTTCTTGGAGTTGAAGTTCATTCATTGTAAAGTTGACAAGTTTGGGAAATGCTGCTCTAATATGCATTATATTTTCCTGCTACTCCAGTCATAACCATTGTAGAAAAGAGGTAGAATATATCTTTTGGATCCTTTCTAATTTTCTTGAAAATTTAGCAAGAAAAAATGCTGATGCCTTGAGTTTCTTCTATTAGCAATTCATCTCTCCCAACAGGTGCTGCTGATTGGAGACTGTGTTGGGGGTATCCTGGCCTTTGATGCTCTTTGCCACAGTCGTGCTGGTGGGTCAGGAAGTCATGGGAGCAGCCGTCGTGGCAGCATGGTCAGTTCCCAAGCCCTGGGGTAGCTCTCCTTACCTGTGACGATGTTCTCCTTCCAAATTCTAAAATGGGCAGATGGATAATTACATAATGATGAGATGAACTGAAAATAGATGAAGAGGAGAAATATTTTCTTCTGACTTCATTCTAGAAATGAACTGCCCAAGTATGTCTGCTCTAGAATATAATGTAGTAGATCAGTCAAGTGTCCTGTTTCTTTTTGGTTGAGATCTGCAGGGGTGGGTAATATATTTTTTTTAGCAAGGAGGCACAGCTGTTTCAAATTCTGAGGGCTGATTTAGAGAGTGAGGGGCAATATTTTGTCATGGTTTGGTTTGCTTAAAAAGGCATCTTGTGGCCATCGGAGTTTTATGCTGCTTGTTTTAGTGGCTACTTCACCATCAATCACGGAAGACCGTTCAGCAGTTTGCTATTAAATTCTGGAAAAATAATCTGGGTAACTTTCCTGTGGTCATGATCTACCCTTCTTTGCCTAAAGAAAAGGCATTCTAATTTCCTGAACAGAAGAGGAACTTCTCAGCCTTCCATGTTTCTTTCCAGAATGCTGATCTCCTGTCTCCAGAGACTTCTGTGGTGCGAGACCCACTGCTCAAGAAGCCAGAAATATCAGGAGGGATTGGCCGTGCCAGTCCTGAGCCAGGAGTACTTCCTCTTACTCCGAAATATTGCGACAGCGTAGCTCCAGAGAGTGACTCTTTACAACAGCAACAAATCTTGTCCAGGTGAGAGATTAAGGAATCCAAGGCTATAAAACCAAGATGACTTATTAGGTATCGGTTTTCAGTAATCTGAGCTGCTTGTTTGCCAATTGGAAACAGGAGGTCAGCTGAATTGCTCTCAGTCTTCTAAAGAATTTCTCTAGCATACTCTAAGGAGTCTGTTAAACTTTTCACACTTAAGAGGAAATGTAGTAAAATTATGGGTGCATAATCTAGAATCCTTAAGAAGTTGTTGAATCTCAACTCCAGAAGCTAATATTAGAATTGCTAATAGTGTATAATAATGTTATATTCTGTAATGCTGACAAAGGTGGAAATAAAAAAAAGAGGAGAATGACCAGGAGCAAGTTAGATGAGTTCAAGTACAGCAGCAATGGCTGCACCATTGCAAGACCTGAAGGTTTCGGGGAGGATCCTCCTTGAGAAAAATCTGTTTATTTGGTCATTAGGAGTTGATACTGACTTGATGGCATATAATTAAAAAAAACCTGAGAGGTAGTTCAGCAACATATGAAGACTTATAATATGTTGTGCTACCTTTCTTCCTGGAAAGGTAGAATTTTGGAAGAGAGCTATGGCTATTCCTTGGTTGTGTAAGAAGCTCTTGTGGTAATAATGTTGTAAAGATCACTGGAGTTGTGCAATGTACAGATCTAAACTAGGCAGAGGTGCTTTGGATCCAACACAGATGCTCTTGCTGTGCTGTGTGGCTGTTCCTTAAAGTTATGCATTTCTTAGGGCTTACACAACTCATACAGTAAGTGTGACCCTCCTGGATTCCCAGTATTCTTTCCCACTTCAGATCCAAATGCTGTATGTCTATAGTTAACAACAAGAAGGATGCTGAAAATTGTAGTTCAGTAACTGAATCAACTGGGCTGGAGAAGAAGCTTCTTTGGAATGAAACATTCTGTTTTAAATTTTAATTTCCACCCTATAAGTGTTGTACGCTTATTAAATTTCTTCTCTTTCCTTTTTCTCATTGTTATTGATTTTCTGTTTACCATCGTACGTCTTTAGTTTCTTTAGAAATTAAAGTAAATGGACAAATGTAATTTGTGGACTATTTGGACTTGGTTGGGGGCTATTTGTATTTTCTGGCAGGGACATGATTTTCCCCCCTCTTGTCTTTAGCCTGCAGTCTAGCGTGCCTGCCTCAGAAACAGAAGGAGACCCCCGACGCAGCAGTAACTCTTCATCTTCGTTGGTGGAGACTTTTGAAGGCCCTAACATGGTTGGGAAGCTGGAATTTAAAGTGTCTGGTTTTTTCTTATTTGGCTCCCCTCTGGGATTGGTACTTGCACTTCGTAAGACAGTAATGCCCGCCCTGGATGGTACGGAGATTTTTTTTCTTCCATCTTTCTACATTTCATCATATTTTCTGCTTTTTTCATCCATTGTAGACAACAGCAATTTACATAGTCGTTTGTGTCTTTCAGTGGCTCAGATGCGTCCGTCCTGTGAACAGATCTATAACTTGTTTCATGCTGCTGACCCCTGTGCCTCCCGCCTAGAACCTCTGCTAGCTCAACAGTTTCATGCTGTACCTCCTTTTGGGGTCCCCCGCTATCAGAAATATCCCCTGGGAGATGGCTCGTCCACTTTATTAGGTGAGGAAAAACTGTGTAGGCCAGGCACTAAATAATGGACTGGAAAGACTTTTGGCCTGACCTGGTAGGACTCTGTTGCTTCTTTTCTTTTGGAAATATGAAAGTGGAAGGCTGGGGCTATAGTGTAAGGGATGGAGGATGTTTGAGATGTGGTTCTGCACTTAGGGAACTGCAGAACACAAGATTTGGTTCTCTGGATTATAATATTACTGAGTATGGTGGTGCATTTGTTTTAAATCTATGACACAAAATAAAGTAAAATGCATGTTTTAGGAGATGTTGTTTTGTTCAATAATAAAGGCTTCTATGTTGTTCTAAACAATATGCTATAACAGAGCTGAGGGGGAATATTATATAACAGGGGTGTCAAACTCATGTTGTCACGGTGGTGTCAATGACGTATTGGGACTTCCCCCCCCTTCTCAAAACCGGGTGTTGGCATGGCCAGTATATGACGCATCCAGCCCGTGGGCCGGGAGTTTGACAGCCCTAATATATAAGGAGGAATTCTCTGGAGTCAGTCTCTTAATTCTATAGAGGAGTTTGGTAGAGCAGCCATGTCCCTTTAGCCCTTTGCTGGGAGGATGCCACATGTTTATATTATTTATTTGTAGTCGCTGTACCTATTTCTAAGTGGAAAGGCTCCCAGGGTAGTTTATTTAAGCTGACACGGAAGAAGGGAACAGAGAGGGACAAAGAAGAAAGCAAGCAAAAGGTCAAGCACATTTGAAATTGCAATTTGTAAGTGCTTGACTGTTTGGAAGGGAAACAGCTTAGGAAGAGAAGGAGCCTGATAGAGCTGGTATTTCATCAGTTAGTCATTAATTAGCCTTGCTTCCTATTTATTATCCTGCAGTAGCGGTATAATAAAATGTTTTGTCCTTGCATTGAAAATCAGCATGGAACTGATGGTAATGGTGTGAAGTAGACATCTCTGAATAATAGATTTCTATTTGTAGGGAATGTTATACAGAAGGACATAAAAGTTCTCATCTCCATGGTCTGAAGTGATCACCACCACTAATTCTGCTGCATGTGCTGATTGATATGCAGGACCTCTGTGTACTTGAGGCTAACCAAGACAGAAACATGTTGTGACAGAATCTGTATTGCTTTTAGTGTCCTCGTGACATTGCCTACTTTGGACCCCCGGCCCACAAGTGAGGCAGTGTTAAGCCCTTTTAGTTAGACTCATGTTAAAGTAGCGTTTTTCCTTTTATGCCAGATCTGTTCAGAGGGAGTTTCTTCTACAATTCTTCCATATATTAATGATCAACCAGAAGCTTTTGAAAGGTTTTATCTGTCAGGCCCAAGGAGGAAGTTTACTTCCTTTCTCAGAATGTATATTGAGTCATTTATAATGATAGGAGGGGAATTTCCTTTCTGTTTCTTTTTTTAGCTGTCAGCAGTATAAATTTGAAACTTCTGAGTAGAAATGTGCAATTTATTTTAATTTTATTCCATTTTTTTTCTTTTTAGAACTAATGTTTTAATTATTTTCCTGTGTAATTCATAGAGGTAGAATGGAGTATGAACATGAATGGAAGTGTACGTGTGTGAGAGAACTTTTAGAATGCTGCATAAATTAACAGGAAATGCAGATGTGCTTTTGATTGGTGACCCAGTGTTCCTGAGGAATGCTCTACATTATCTGCCATGCTAAGGAGCCTTTCATGTTTGCCTGTGGTGCACTCTGATGCCATGTTCTGTTGCATTGAGATATCTGAGGAGAGGAAGTTCAGCAAGGAGTATTTCTTGAGGAATTGGAGCCTAGAGAGAGTGTTATTATAGGAGAAAATCCATAGAAACATTAGAGTCCAAGAATTGACTACAAACACCAAATCACAGTGTTTATTATATTTACATATTGCATAATATTATACATATATTAACATGTCATTCAGCAGCTGAAGACAATATATTTGGCACTCCCTTCTCTTGTTTTCCCTCAAATCATCCATTGAATGAGTTGGGCTGAGAGGTGAATGACTGGTCCGAAGTCACCCAATGAGCTTGGGAGTGGACTAGAATTGAGTTTCTCTGATCCTAATCCAGTTTCTCCCCCCCCCCACACACACACACACACATCGCAGGATCCATGTCATGATTGAAACTACTGTTATATTGTGTGTGGATGAGGTATGTGTGTGTGTGTATGTGTACGTGAACAGACTTCCTTTTAAGGAATGGCAACCTTATGCCATCTTGCTAAGTTAATTCCCCAAAAGAAATTATGAGAATCATAGTTCCAGTATAGGTGGAAACAATGAATTTAGGAAAGGCTGATGCTGCAGTACAGTAGTGGAGCACTGGAAATATGCCATCACTGTGTTCACCTCTGCTTATGTTTCTCCTTGAACTAGCCGACGCCTTGCAGAGTCATTCTTCCCTCTTTGTGAGTGAGCTAGACCTTGTGACACCACCCACTCCAACAGGTGCATTTGGGGGCTTCTGGAAAGGAAATGAGGGAGCTGCAAGTGACAGCACTGCAACCAGCACCAATGAAGTTGTCAAGAGTGAGTTATTGCTGCCTTTTTATACTAATTTCTTCAAAACCAGATTTGACTATGCATCTATTGTTCGTTTTAGTCAGCTTAGCAGGCCATTTGTTATTATGAATCCATTTGCTGATTGGAAAGGTTACCACGAGCTTTCTACGTTTACAAAGCATTATTTTCTTCTAAACATTCTTATTTTTGGCAGGTTGAGTCCTGTTTTAACTGCTTTAGGCGTTACAAATAATAAATATTAGAAAATGTGTCATCTAGTTATTTAGTTGAAGTGCTAGAAAGCTATCTGCCTTTTCTGTGTCTCTCTTATATCTCCGATACTGGTGTATAAAGCTGTTCTTTCACGTCAGCCGTTCAGAATGAACTGCCTGCTCCTTGAATAGATTCATTGACGATTCAGACAGAAATCTGAACAAAGGCTCTTGTTTCTGTGAAGCAAATGAGTACATTTTGCAAAGGTTGCAATTTACTTGGGTGCCAAGTAAATACTTGTTCATTGAGTGGAAAACCCAAATTCCGCAGTGTTGCCATAGCTTGGCCACACTGGGCCACTTTGTGTCACTTCTGGAGTGCTCAGAAACATCCAAGAGCCATTATGGTGATTAAGAATATAGTTCTGGGCAGAGCTGAGCCACTTCAATTTCTGGCAACTGGAACAGAGTGTTATAAAATAGCTTTAAAAGTTTCTGCAGAAATTTTGATAAGTATCATCAAACTAGATATGTTAAAATAATATTTGCATTAAGAGTGTGAGGTTTGTGTGTTTCTTTTAAACCCCAGTCATTAGTTGGAGGTGGGGACTGACGTGTATCAGAATTTAATCATTAAAAACAAGGCTATAGCTTCCATTGAAGTGGAGGAATAGAATATTGAATTCCTTTGCCATATCTGTACTAATGCTTAGAAATTAATGCTAATTGCACTTTTAGGCAACTGCAGTTTAAAATTAAAGATGCATTTAATGGCAAGTGCCCTTTGATCCTTGAGTCTTTTGTGATTTTTTGGGGGGGATGGGGAAACAGGAAAAATTGAAAAAGTATTCATTAGAGTGTTAGTGAAATTGTTCACCAGCTGCTGTTGAGCTGAGATTTCACTTAGAGTCACCTCCTTTGGCTATTACTTCCTTCTGCTTTTATTAAACACATAGGCAACATTAACTTGCTGGAAAGAAATAGATGTTACAGTATTTGTGTTACCTTGGGAATAAGCTTCCTCACTAGTTCTGTTCTAGCATATGTTACAACATGGATATGGTTTGCTGCTAGTCAGTATTGTCCCTAACCTTCTGGAGAAATCAACAATCTGCCACGTTGTAACTTTATTCATGTATCTTGATAATAGCTATGGAAAATACATGTTTTGCTGGCTTTTTAAAAAATGCATTGTTCATTTCTGTTTTGTCAAACATTTTAATTTAATTAATTTAATTTAATTAATTTAATTTAATTAATTTAATTTAATTTAATTTAATTTAATTTAATTTAATTTAATTTTTATTTAATTAATTTAATTAATTTAATTAATTTAATTTAATTTAATTAATTTTAATTTATTTAATTTAATTTAATTTAATTTAATTTAATTAATTTAATTTAATTAATTTAATTTATATGACGCCCCTCTCCGAAGACTCAGGACGGCTTTGAGGTCTTGGTCAGTGTAACGTAGTGCTTCTATCTTGAGTATACTAATATCTGCAAAGGACTAATTGCTTTGATGGATCCACTATATCTGGATCCATCAAAGCAATTAGTCCTTTGCAGATATTACTGTTTTTATATAGCTTTATAAGATGAAAGATACAATGCATTAATGTACACGGGGAAAAAGTTCCTACACCATTTCTTTTTCAGGGATTGTTTTCCCTTGTATTTTGTATCTTTATATGGTTTTTGAAGGGTAAAATATAGAGAAAAATTAGAAAAGGATGACCAATAAAAGCAGTCAAACATGCCAAGAACCTTGTTATCCATTTTACAGGAGAAAGGAAAAAAAGATAGGGGCACCTTCAGGGGATCATGCTAATATGATTTCTCCTCCCCTTTGATCTAGTTCTGGATCGTTGGTGGGGTTCAAAACGCATCGACTATTCTCTCTACTGCCCCGAGGCACTCACGGCCTTTCCCACCATCACCCTGCCTCATCTTTTCCATGCCAGCTATTGGGAAAGTGCTGATGTGGCTGCCTTCATCTTACGCCAGGTGGGCTATTGCAAGCAAGATAGAAAATTACATGTGTATGTCCTGTGGAACTGGTTCCTTTAACTGCTTGATTTGACCAGAGGCAACTAAGGGAACTTCCCTCAAAATCCGCTTAAAGATGATCTGGGATTGTCTTTCAGGCTGTCAAGCAAAGTATCACTGCCCCACTACCATAGGTCTTGCAAGAAAAGAACTCCCATCACTCACCTCTCTGGGCAAAAAGGAGAATGAAATAGATTACGTACATGCATATGCACCTAGATATATCCCTGTGACATCCTCGTACTCTGTATACCTTGTTAAATGCAAAAAGGGGAAGAGTATTTCTCATGAAAAAAATGAAGGAAGGAAGGAAGGCATTTTCTTGCAGTTTTTAAACACCCTATTATTGAGTTGGAAATATATTGGCCCATCTCTTGACCATGGCTGTCGTCATGGGATCACAGAGACCTGAAACTGCCTTTGAAATAATACAGGATCCTTCTTGAAGAGATCTAAGGTAGAAAACGTAGAAATCAAGTGTGCTTTGGTGGCTAAATTTTACCTTGACAGGTCAGGTCTACATGAGTTATGAGACTCAGAGTTTAGCTGCTAAATGATGTGCTTAGATTTCCAAATGTCCTATACTTATTCTTAACATCTCCATCCAAAAGAGAAAGACCTTTTGCCTGAGTTCCTGGAGAACTGAAAAAGCACAGCAGTACAGATAGTCCTCAACTTAAAACAGTTCATTTAGTGACTGTTCAAAGCAGCCAATAGCACTGAAAAAAGTGACTTATGACCGTTTTTACGATTGAACTGAAAAAAGTGAGTTATGACTGTTTTTTACCCTTAACAACTGTTGCAGCATTGCCATAGTCATGTGATCAAAATTCGAACACTTGACAGCTGGCATGTATTTATAACAGTTGCAGTGTCCTGGGGCCATGTGATCGGTCATCTTTTGTGACCTTCCAATAAGCAAAGTCAATGGGGAAGCCAGAGTCACTTAACAACCGTGTTACTAATTGCAGTGGCAAGAAAAGTTTTAAAATGAGGCAAAATTGACTTAACTAATATGTTGCTTAGCAACAGAAATTTTGGGCTCAATTGTGGTTGTAAATCAAGGATTATTTGTAGAGAACAACCACGGCCCAACTGCCCTAGGTTTTATTCCAGTGCCCCCTCATAAGACACACAATACGCATCCCACTCCATTCTGCTACCAAAATTTCTATTTCTCCTTCCTGTTTTCTAATTTAATAAAATTTTAATTATCAGCGGAAATCTTTTTAAAATCATAATATCTTTAGTATTTTCCCTATGTTTTCTTGAATTGCAAACGAAAAAATGTTCTGCAAACAGGAAAATGCTTGCTGGAGGAAGGAAGCTTGTATTGCTGTTTTTCTGCATACACCCACACAGTTGTGTAGGTTTCAATATGCATGCAATTTTATGTTTAAAGTTAGATTCTGCTGTGTATAATTGCAGGTGTGTTATATACAGTAATTGCACAGGCCGTCACAGGGCATAAAACCGCTGCACAGTTTCCCACTACTCACAGAATTATAGCATTTTACTTGGCTTTATTTTGAAGCCAACATTTGTTTATAACTCTACAGGTGTTCATGCAGCTATATATTGCAACAACAGAGAAGCAGCTTTTGTGAATACCCCTCTACTTACTGCATTATGCTGAGGCTTTTGGCATCGTTGGGTATACTAAAACATCAATGACCTTTAAAACTTTGGCTGCTTCTCCCAAAATTTCAATTCTGTACATTGCTATGTGGCCCTTAATTTTGTATTACCCATTATAGATTAAATGCCATATTCATTAACAAGTGCCAACTCAGCAAAAATTGCATTTGGAAAAATACCAGGAAGCAGTGCCTCAGAGATAATGGGGATCCCAGCATTATTCTGTCAAGGATAGCAGAAGCATGGCAAAGGTGCTTGCCTTGTCCGCTTTTGAAGCAATCTAGGTGCCGAAAATTAAGGAATTATTCCTTTTAAATACTGGCTACATATTAACGTAAGGCAAGTCTGTCTTTTTGCTTGGTTATTTTTTGAGGCCTAGAATTTACAGTCTCTGATTTCAGGTGATTGAGACGGAGCAGCATCAAGTGACTGAGAATGAGGAGAGTTCGATCTACAGCCCAGCATTTCCCCGTGAAAAGTGGCAGCGCAAACGTACGCAAGTGAAGATCCGGGTACGAACCTGCTGTGGCTTCTCTCAGCTTTTTTTGGTCTTTTTTTTTTTGTAGTCTTCAGGGCATGTGTTGAGGTTGCTCTACTGGCTTTGTAGGAAGATACACAATCTGATCCTATTTATTTTCTGCTCATAATGTTCCTGAATCCATCACCAGTGTTGATCTCACATTGTTTGCCTTTAACTCCCCTAAACATTAGAACAATCAATTTGATTCTGCAGGAATGACATACTGTTGTTGCAATTCAAAATCTGATTTTTCTTGGTTAATATTATTTGTATAATATATTAGGTTTTTGTTATTGAATGGGAGAGTTACTTCACTTTCATAACATCTTGAATTTTTCTAGGTTCAGGTTTGGCCCCTCAAATGAATTAGCAAGCTGTTATGGGATGTGATGGTTGTGAGCACTGACACCCAAAACATGAGCTATTGGCAAATTAAATGTGGGGTCATAGTGCCAAATATAGGATGAAAGTTCATTTACTCATAGTGCATAAAAGATGATAAACTGCCTTCTCTAGTGGAATGTAATGGTGGTTGTTTTATTAGTAAGAAAAACTCAATACAAGATATCCCTATAATTCTTATGGCAGCTGATTTTATTATTAAAGATAGCCTTATATAGTTAATCAAATTGGCACACAACCAAGAAAAAAAAGATCCGTTCAGCCCCACAAATGACCTTCTAAGGCAGATAGAGGAACAGATAGCTATTATGTAGTAAGATTCTCCTGCCTGCTCTAAATAACTCTTCGTTGTTGCATGAGTTCCGTTCGTGAGTTGGGATTCAAGGTATTTAAATTCTCCAACCTGCTCTGTTGCAATCTCACTGCAGTCATCCATTTCTTGAGAAATTCTCCCTTTGTCCAGTTTTGCAATGATGAGGTTAATAATAATGTCTGGCTTTTTGTTTCTCAGAATGTTACAGCAAACCATCGTGCCAGTGATGCGATTGTGTGTGAGGGACGACCCCAAGTCCTTAGTGGGCGCTTCATGTATGGTCCACTTGATGTGGTAACTCTCACTGGAGAGAAGGTAACCAAGGTTTTAATTCTAGGATTGATTTACCAGGACAAGTGAACAGGTGGGGTATAATGCTGGCATGAACCTGAGCAAGCAGCATTATGTGCTATAAGCCTTCTCTTTCCTAGTGGGCATATATGCAAAATGTTTTCACTTGAGAATGATTGTTCGTCCTCCAAGGTACACCAGACCTGGAAACCAATATCATGTTGGCTAGTACTACTTTTATTGTAACATCTGTAGCAACAGAAACTTGGAAGTCTGAATATTCCATGTGAACGAGGGAGGGGGTTTTCTGAGATGTTTTCTAAAGTTACTTTCTTGGCCTGAACTCAGGCTCTTTTTATCTGCCTGTTATCTTGATGGCAGCTCTTCCTCTTGTCCTTCAAGGCCATTCCTTCTGCTTTCTGCAATGGCAGAAGAAGGAAGACCTGACACTAGACCAAGGGCGAGGCTTTCCTGGGAGTAAGGAGGGGAACAGAAATAAGTAGGGTTGCAACTTCAGATTTAAAGCTAAGCCAAGACCATGGGATAGAATGTGGCCTCCAGAGGGATTCTTAGGTTTGTTGGGAAAACTTCCCTAGTTCTTCTGTTTAGGTGACTGAGAGAGCTGCCTTGCTGTCAGGAGACCTACCGTAGAACCAGTTTTCAGATCATCTTAATGTGAATTCCTCATTTCTCCAGGATTAGAGTTGTGTTGAGGCCCTTAATGAATGAGCCTGGAACTCATCCATAATATGAGCTAGCAGTCTAAAATGAAAGGGGGTGGAGTTGGGGAGGGGAGACTAAAGGAAGCCATTCACATTGAAACTGTGGTAGATGGCAAGTGTTGTATCCTAAGAGAGGGAAATAATTTACAGGCAAAATGGAGTAGATGTAGTTGGAGTTGTAATATGAAAATGCCACAGTCCCTTGAGAAGGCAAAGAATAGATATTTTCCAGAAGGACAGAAGTGTTGTAAGAAAAAGGTAGTAGAAATTAAATAAAAGTAAGTTTTAAAAAAATCCTTCAGAGGAATGAATATGAAAAGGTCATGAGAAAATGGATTTTTAAAAACCAACTTAAGAAGATGGGAGTGAAGGAAGGGTTTGTGCTCTCTCCTTTCCTTGTAATAACAGCTGCAATTTAGCCATTTCAAGTGTTATTTGTGGCTAGCAATGCAGTATAACAGTACATGCAATGAGGTGAACACCGTCCTGATCTTTCTTTACAGGTCGATATCTACATCATGGCACAGCCATTGTCAGGGAAATGGGTACATTATGGCACAGAAGTGACAAGTGGTAGCGGGAGGCTTTCTTACACCCTTCCTGAAGAGAAGATGCTGGGCATTGGCATGTACCCTATCCGTATGGTGGTGAGGTGAATGCATGGTAGATCCTTTCCTGTGCTTGATCTTTTGGGCGGCCTCCTCTGTGCCAGATATTCTCTTCTACTATCCAGGAAAGCTTGTAACACAATATACGCACATGTCCGTAATGCACTACAAAAATATCTGTATTATATTGGTTGCAGCACTTGATTGTGGGATGTGATCTTCTGGACCAGAATGGTTCAAATTTGGCCTTGACAACTATTTAGCGCACAGGTTCAATTGTTACAATCCAATTGCCTGCCAGTGAAAGTAAGCAACTGGTGGCTCTTTAGATGTTGCTGAACTGCAATTCCCAGCAGCCCTGATCAGCATGGCCGATGTGGGGGATGCTTGGAGGTGTATTTCACTACAGGATCTCTGCAGATTTATAGTTAATAGTTGAACTGCTTGGCTTTTTCCTTCTTTGGTTTTCTACACTATAGAGGGGGAAAAACACCCTCACTTGCTTCTATCTTCATGGCTTGTTTGAATGCATAAGTTGAGCATTTCTGATTCTGAATAGGTAGGAATATTTGCTTTTGGACTGACACCTTTCTGTCTCTCCACAGAGGTGATCACACCTATGCTGAATGCTTTCTGACAGTGGTAGCTAAGGGCACACCTTGTGTCGTCTTTAGTATTGATGGTTCCTTCACAGCTAGTGTCTCCATTATGGGCAGTGATCCCAAGGTGCGAGCAGGTGCTGTTGATGTGGTAAGGTAGGTGAATACCCCTCCTCAGAGACTCCTTGTATTTCTTTGAATCAACTGATTGACTGTTTCTCTTTCTTAAGGCCTCCAAAATCCGTGCCAGGACTATAGAGAAATTCTTATATATGTTACATTCCTCAACTGAGTTACTCTCTAGTATGTTTCCACATTCTGTAAATCTTTTTATCCCAATACTTAGCCTAATTAATTTTTTCCATTGTGCAAATATTTTTTAAAAGATGTTTAATAAGTAACACAGTAACAGGAAAGCTATTTCAAGCACCATTTGGAAATAGTTCTGCTGTTTTCCTTCACACTTGCCAGCTTCCATATTTGTCATTGCCAACATGCTGTCAAAATGGATTTCTTGGAAGAAGCTTTTGTTAAAGCAACTGGATGTTTTTTCTACTTTAAAGTAGCATTCTAATTATCCCTGTTCTTTTTATGAAAAGTGAAGAGAGAAGCATGTCTGCTCACTTTCACAGCTTTAATAAACTGTCTGGTAGTTGAATATTGATAGTGTTTTCTATGAATCAGACTGGATTCATACCAACAATATATGCATTTGTTACAGAATGCAGATTCTTTTTATTGTTTTCAATATCACCGTAGTTAACCAAATGAAAGGATGTCTTTATATAAACCCCAAATTAAAAAAATGAAGTTTATTGCAGTGAGGGAGAATTCCTCCAAATGTTGGACCACAAATTGTAGATTTCTTAGCCAACATAGCAAACTCACTGGTATCAGTTGCTTTAAGACACGGGTGGACAACTGTAGCCCCTTTCCCAACTGTGGGATTTCAACTTCCAGAAGCATGCTGGCTCAGGACTTGTGGGAGTTGAAGTCCACAGGTCGTGAAGGGGCCATACAGGTGGTCCTTGACTTACAACCATTCGTTTAGTGACCGTTCAAAGTTACAAAGCATTGAAAAAAGAGACCACTATTTTTCACACTTAAGAACTGTTGTAGCATCCCCAAGGTCACATGATCAAAATTTGGGCGTTTGGTAACTGATCTGTATTTATGATGGCTGCAGTGTCCCAGAGTCATGTTCTGACAAGCACAGTTAATGGGGAAGCCAGATTCACTTAACAACTGCATGATTCATTTAACAACAGTGGCAAGAAAAGTCATAAAATGGACCAAAACTCACTTAGTAACTGTCTTGTTTAGCAACAGAAATTTGGGGCTTAATTGTGGTTATAAATTGAGGACTGTACCTGTAGTTGCACATGCCTACTGTAAGATATGGGTAGTGGCCATGGAGGGGATTTGTGCAGACTAACAGTGGGAGGAAGATGGGCCACTCAGTAACTCTTCACCTCACAGTAACTTCTGTTGTTCAGTGTCAGTGTACCATGAAGGAAGGTACTAGTGATAACTATTCCCTCCCTGACCTGTTATGACTTTTCCAGAGGCAAGGCATATTTATAATCTGTCTCACCAATATTCTTTGAACATACATTGATGGATCCTTGGTCTGGTGACTCAACAGGATGTTCTTTAAGGAACTAAGATGCAAAATGCTATAAATACGGCATGCCCTTTTGTTAAGCTTTGTCATAATTAGGCCTCACAATCACTCCTAGTTACAGTTCTATCTTTACACTCCAAATAGGGGCAGGCAATTTAGATATTATGAACTACCCTTCCCATAACCCTTTGCTAGGTGCTAAGGAGAAGTAACCTGAAATATTTGGAGAACACCAGGTTTTTAGTTGTTTTCCAGAGATAATTTATCTTTCCCTCTGCTTTTGTAGGCATTGGCAAGATTCTGGTTTCATGATCATCTATGTGACAGGGCGTCCAGACATGCAGAAGCACAGAGTGGTGGCTTGGCTTACCCAACATAATTTCCCACATGGCATTGTCTCTTTCTGTGATGGCCTCACGCATGACCCTCTTCGCCAGAAAGCTGCCTTTCTACAGGGCCTTCAGCAAGAGGTATGTAACTGCTTGTGTTCTTTCACAACCAGAAGAGGCATACAATGGAGATTCTATTCTGGTGTAACTGAGGAGGCTTGCGGAAAAAGCTGGAGGAGTACCACAGGAGAAAGGGAAGTGAGGGAACAATGGTGCTGAAGTGGCATAGTAGAGCCCAACTCTCAGAGGAACAGCTTTCCCTGGTTTTGCTATAACATTCTGTAGGAGAGGCCTCACGGCCTTGCTTATCTGGGTGGCATATGGGAGAGAGACTTTTCTCATATTGCTGCCAGGTCAAGCTGTGTAACTCTGGAGGTGGGTCGGTCCATAATAGATCTGAAGCGTGTAAAGTGTAACGTGTGTAACAGTGCATTAATTTCACCAGGTTTTGAGTGGTTAATTAGTGTTCATATTCATTTTAATTTATGGATTTGGTACTTTCTGTATTTTAATTATTATTACACTTGTATTTTTGCTTGAATAGGAGGAACCTAAAATTAATTCTAAAATGTTGTTGTTTATTTCTTGTAGGCAGAGGTCACTATTGTAGCTGCATATGGTTCCACCAAGGACATCTCAGTTTATAGCTCTTTAGGGCTCCCTTCATCCCAGATCTACATTGTGGGTCGGGCTGTGAAGAAACTGCAAAGCCAATGCCAGGTATGGAGTTGGCTCAGCTACTGTCCTGCCCAACTAATCGAGGGACTGAAATGTGCAAGTGCCATATTGTGATAAGGTCTTTCCTCTCCCACCCACCCACCAAGGCTGTGGCTCATTCAGAAATGGGTGGGCCAGATAAAAGCAGGCATTAACTGCCTTAATCTTTTTCCTTGCAGTTCCTTTCAGATGGCTATGTTGCCCATCTAGCCCAGCTGGAAGCAGCCTCCCTCGCCCACTCGCCGAAAGGAACCACAAGGCCCACCTTGGGCAAAGGCAGTTATGGCTGCCCTGCTCCTGTCGACTTCCTGCGCAAGCAGAGCCAGCTGTTGCGCTCCCGGGGACAGAGCCAGGTGGAACGAGAGGGAATTGGAAGCACCCAGCCCCGAGCCAAAATCCGGAGTGTCAGTCTGAAGCTGGAAAGTGAGGAGTAAACCCAAGAGGGAAAGTCTCTGCATTTTCTTACTTGCAGCAGCTGATGCTCGGATTGGGCCTGTAGAGGCCACAGATGGGAGAGAAAGAAGCTAAAAACACCATGCAAATAGATAGAGAGGGAGGGAGAGAGAGAGAAAGAGGGCTCTGCCTTGTCGAGGCCAGAAGCTGGCAGACAGTGCCGCTAGGACGAGGAGGAGAGAGCTTCTGTACAATCCCAAAGAGTGTTCCATTCCCATTGGTCCCAGTTCTTGGCCTCTGTTCGTGGTCTTCATTGACCTACAGTGCAGCCAGTGTTCCTGAACTCATGCCCCCTAGGGATGGGTGGAGGGGAAGGGTACAATGGGAATCTATTCATATTCTCCCCTTATTTAAACCGTGCTATGTTGTTTGTGAATTCCTTTTTTTCAGAATGTGAGGCCTGTTAAGACTGGGTTATATCCATTCTCCCAGCCTGTTCATAGGTGAGGCAGTGGCCCCCATAATTTCTCAAGTCTTCCCACAATTCTCTCCAGTTTAAGGTAGGGAGTAATGGTTCAGAAAAAAAATGCCTATATCTATATATCTATATATCTCCATATATGGATTCCAGCATGGCCATTTCACTTCCGAGGCTGAGCGCCTTGCTCCAGCCTCTACTTCAGTTGTCAGCCTTCATCCTGCCTATACCTCGTTGGTCGTTGGATATCTGCATGATACTGCCTTTCTGTGCATGTATTGTGTCCGGAATGAGAGCACAGGAGTGTCAGGTTTAAGGATGAATCTGTACTTCCTTTCTGGACATTTGGGGGGGTGGGGGGTGGGATTTGCTTCACAGCGTCCGAATTGCTGGGAAGTAGAGAGGCAGAAAGAAGAACCCTGCTTTGGAGGACTTATGGGAGTTTTGCGTTCTTTCAATGTGTTCACAAAACAATAAAATTTAAGTATTAAACATTGTAAATGTCTTGAAGCAGTTGGGATGTCTAGTTCAACGTTATTTTAGGTAGGGATGAATGCTTCAAAATAGGAAACTAAATTCTGCCCATTGATCTAAATGTGTGTGTGTTTGTGTATAAAACACTAAAACAATAGCAAAAGGTTTGAACTTCAAGGAGGAACTCACTTTCACTTCTCTTTCTTTCTCCACTGAAATGGGAAAGGTAACAACCATTCCCAGCCTCCCCATGCATACGGAGAAAAGGAAAGACTTTTCTCTTATCAAAGCACATCTAAACTTTGCCCAACATGGTAGCTGCTGAACTGGGTGTGGTGGAAAAGTGCTTATCTATAATCTGTTTTGAAGTTCCCCAACTGGAATATGAAAAAAAAAAAAGATAGGTTTAAGTACTGAAGTCCCAGTTTTCCAATGAAATATACGAACATAATGAATGTATGATTGTTGTGGTATTACAAAGGCTATATTGGGGGAAATCGTTAGCAAAATGTAAAACATATCCCTTTTTTGAAAAAAAATTGGAAGCTGAGATATAAATTCATAGAAATTAAATGAGAAAAAAAATCTCAACCAATGAATTTATGTACCGCTAAGATGGGATGGATGCTAACTGAAGTAGATGCAATTACCAGTACACATTTTCATGCACACCAAGTACTGCATCATGACACATAAAATCCATGTATAAAACATGCATGGATCAATAATGCAACATTGACTGTCAGCACATTCAACAATAAAAATAACATTTCTTGGCAGAATGTCTGGCAACATATGGCCTTTGTTTTTAAGTGTTTGGTTTGCTTTTTCATATTTTAACTTCTGCTTCAATGTTAGGAAAGCGTGCCATGAGGGTTCATATAAAGAATTCCCAATTTTAGTATAATTTGAAATAATTTATCTGTTCATTATTATGAGATTAAACATATTCATTTAAATATTCATTTAAATATTTCAGTTTCAAGCAAGGTTGATTGTTTCCCCTTTTGAAACAGTCAACATTAGCTTGTGTTGTTTGCTTTTTGATATGCTACTTGGACACACTATACCTCTACATACCTTTCCCTGGAATTCTGTACCAATTCTCAGGTAAAGACCTATTGTATAAGTTACCAGGAAGAGAATGTGTAGCCAGCCTCCATGAAATAAAATGTAAAACATTTTTTGGGGGGAAAGGAACATTGTGACTCACCTTTTCTACTTCACTGCCTGCCTGCCAGTTCCTCATTGTGGTTTCTGAGATTCAACCATTTGGGCTCTGAGCCTCTGCAGCATGGCATGATGTGATCTTCCAGAGCTCAAATAGCTTTTGCTGGCACAACTGTCAGAAAATTAAAAAAGAAATGATCTCAGAAATTAAAGCCAAGAAGCCATGATTCAAGCCGTAAGCTATGATTTGCAGCTAGATGAACCCCTTATTGGAAGGTAAAATTAGGGATAAATTGTCATCACATTTACTCCACTACTAATCTATTTCTAGATCTTGAGCTCGTACTAGTTCTAGAACAAGCAAAAGTTCATTCCATCACGATATTTTTGGAGATTATGCAATTATTTTACTTCCTTCATAGTCTCTGGAATCAATACTATGTTCTCCATCTCTGGGAAAGGACAGGCAGGTTCATCCTCAGGAATCTCAGAAGAGCCATTTAGCTATTTTTCCCAAGTAAACTAAATTAGTTCAAGTGGCTATAGGAAATTTCTGGAAACTGTTATTTCTGCTAAAGAAGGTAGTACAAACAGCTGACTGAACAGAGGTGCCAGGCTTCTGCACCAGCCATATTCACTATTTTAAATCTTTAAAACTGTTGCTCATTAAAACTATGTATTAAATTTGGCATAAAGATGCTGTCGAGCCCCAATCGGGCTCACCATACCTGGTGGGGGGGGGGGGGGGGGAAAGGGCACAGAGCAGCACACAGCGGAGACATTAATGGGCGAGGCAGCGGGACACTCTGGGGCAGTGCTGACCAGTCGCTCGTCAGTAGATCTCTCCCTTGGCCGGTCCTCCGAGAGTGGCAGCGACTGGCATGACGAACAAGGCAGCGTTGGTGGTGATGGGACTTCTGGTGGCAACGCCAAACAGCTGCTCACCAGCGATCACCCCCTTCCATGCACGGGCCTCCGGTCGGGATTCACAGGGTCCCGAAGCATACCGCTGGCTGGGCCATGCCACTGCAGCCGGATGTTTGCCACAGGCTTCCGGATGTTGGGTGACCAGCGGGCATGTCAGTGGCCGGAGGGTGTGGTCCCGGACTATAAAGTGTGCTGGGAGGCGAGAGCTTTGCACCAAACTGTGTGTTATACTGATCGTGTTCTGAGGCTCCAGCCTGCTGTTGAGGATTAAAGTCTGAGTTACTGAGCAGCTTGGTTTCCTGTGTGTTTGCTTTGGTCCTCACCCAGTCCAGCCCTGGACCCTTGAGAGATGCTTAATTGTACTACATAGAGGTTTAAGTGAATTTCTGTTAGGAGTCACTGAAATGTGCAGTTTGATCAAGGAGGCCATGGATAAAAGGCAGCCAGGATGATGGATTCCAGCCTTACAATTTACTTACATCCTGTATATGAATTTTGTTACCATGAAGAGAAGAATGCAGTTGAAACTTTACTATGCTTAACAGACAACTTGAAGTTCTGGTGCATGGAAAGAGAACATCTGATCTTTTAGCAATATTCTTTTCCACAACTAATCTCTGAAGTGTGGTCAGTTTATTAGCTGAGGGCAGGTGTCAGTATAAAAAGGCATAGAATGTCTAGGGAGATTTGCAATCATTCAGGTCATGGTTGTCCCAAAGGTGCTTTTTTCCAAAAATGAACTTGGATTTCTTGGGTTCTGTGCTTCTCATCCAAGAATCCTCTTCAGTTCTGAACTGAAGAAGATTCTTGGATGAGAAATGAAACGTTTCCCCCCCCCCCAAAAAAAAATCCAGTTGCCTTTTGGAAAAAAGCACCTTTGGAACAATATGTCTTATAGTTTCAACGATGGACTATAGAATGCATTTGGTCTGAATTTCTCTAGATTTAGAGATTATAAGCAACACTCAGCTATTGGCAAATGTGTATCTTTACTAATTTTAATATATTCAATTTAATTATTAAACCTTGTGTTGTGTATTAAAATTACTAGCTGCCACGAGTGGAAAGGGGGATAGAAATCTTAAGAAACATGGAGTTTGACTAGCTAGCTTCTGTATTCATACGATTGGCCAGTGTGATTTTGCATGTTTTCAGTTCCTTTTTCCCTGTCTCTGTCACCTACTGTATTTTTTGTAATCTTTGTTCAGAATACAGCTCCTCCTCCTGATTATTTTATTTATAGAAAGGAGAAGTGAAAGCAATGACAAAAAGAAGTAGCGAGGATCAGGACACCAAGGGCTGTCTGAAATTGTTTCTATTACACATGGGATTTAGTGTGTAGCAGTCATCATTAATCTTCAGAAGCAGTCCTCGGCCTCTCTTTTTTCTATTTAAGGAAGAAATGGATTTAGCCCACTAGTTGAGCCAAGTGAACTGTGCTATAAGGAGATTTGCTTATGTGGGACTTTCAAGATTTCACTGATCACCCAAGATTTCAACAACACCAGTGACAAATGAAATGAAATATTCTCCCCGGTGTCTACAGAAAACCGGTTATATCAAGTTCCTGGGTTGGATCATTTTAGTTTGTTTCCCCTCCTACCAGAGATTTACAGCAGCTATTAGTCTAAAACTCACCAAAGGGTGATCTGTCTCTGAGAAGACTTAGAGGCCTTCTTCCTGTTTGCTGGCTCCAACAGAACAAAATATTATATCCAACATAGATCCTGTTGCAAGATACAAATTAAGGACAGGCCTATGACCAATACAACAAACTGGAGACCCTGAGATGGTTGAGTGCAACCTTCTAGTTTTTGGGGTGGTTGAAGACAAAACACCCATGGTCATCCATTGCCTCCATGGATCTTACCCCAGTTAGCTCAGGGAGAGAAACTTGTACAACCAGCAAATTGATAATTGCAGACTGTTGAAAGAACCTTTGCTGGTGGAATTCCTACTGAGTGCAGCAATCTCTTAACTTGACCTTCCACCCAAGCCTGCGGCATCTCGGAGTAATCCAGCTAGCAGAGCTGAAAGAGCTTAACTCCCCTCCCCCCTTTTCCCCCCTCAACTAAATCTCCGTTGTGCACCCAGGTCAATGCTTTCATCCAAAATTAAATTCTGGATAATAGGTGTTTTCCAACAACTGATGTGACTATAAAAAAATAGAAGCTTGGGTTGCAGAGTTAAACATTTGAAATTCCAGTAGCACAGCAGGCTCCTTGCTGGATAATTTGAAGAATGTTATACTGTCTTTTTCACTTTGCTGCTACCTCTGAACTTTCTTGCAATGAAACAATTGAAGGTGTCCTCAATAGAAATAACATGCTCTGAAAAGCCTTATGGATTGAATCTTAGTGGTTTGAATGATTAGGTTTGCTTTTGAATTTTAAAACACATTTTAAAATTAGAATTTTAAAACACAAACTGGAATTGAATCGTGTCTTGAATGTCAGGTCCCCAAACTAAATCAAATTAGGACAGCTAAGCCACATAAGAACTTTGCATTGATGTGTGTTGCTGATCCATTTGTTTGTTTTCTTGATTGTCATTTCTCAAGAGTCTTCTCCAACAGCAAATTCCTACTCAATTTCTAATATGTGTCACAATTCTTATGGAGGAAGAGGAGAACAGCAGCAGCAATTTGGTTTTATTTCCACTGGTTTTTATTTCCACAATTTGGTTTTATTTTTATGTATGCACATAACACTTCCCTCACCCTATCTCCCAAACCATGAGCCCAAATAGCAATAACATTTAGACTTATGTACCACTTCACAGTGTTTTACAGGCCTCTCTAAGCAGTTTACAGAGTCAGCATATTGTCCCCAACAATCTGGATCCTCATTTTACCCAACTCAGAAGGATGGAAGGCTGAGTCAAATGGGCTGTTATTCAGTATTTTTTGCATACAGGTATAGATATGCAAC